AACTATTTTATTGTTGTCCTCTGTTTGCAATCACAGCCTACAATATACTCAATTTTAACAAAGAGACATATAAAGTTGCCTAGAAGCTGAAACGCTCAGGATCTTGTAGTGAAGGCATCAGCGCTTCCACCCCGAGAAGTCTCTCAAGTCGTCTTCAATCTGTAAAGAGATACTATCATACATCAAAAGGGCACATAGGTATACTGAACACAAGAATAGGGAAGAAACCATTCTTATGTACACTGGCATTACATATAAATAAGATATGTTGATCTAGAGATAAAGATCCTCCGCAAATGTTCCAAGCAAAAGCTTCCTAAAGATGAAATCTGAATATGATAGACATTTCAGTGGAACGAAAGGTTTAACCTAATAAAACTAATCTTTCATCCAACCATTACAACTGACCACCAAATTGAAACATGCAACTTCATTCTGGCAGTAATATTCACCCAAAATAATGGAAAATCTGATTCAGGATATTCTTAAAAGGTCATCCATATACCTATTATAGAGGACAGAGAGATTTAACTTATGGAGATAACCCAAGAATACAAAAAAGAAGGTAAATTTCGAGTTCATTCAATTGATGTCATTCCATAGTATTTTACCTTGACGTGCTGCTCTTTTACCCCGCCCTATCCATAACCGAGCATACTCTGCTGCATTATTTGTCAATTCCTGCTACTGGACAGGTATTGAAGTTAAACCATATAGGCGCAACCAATATGAGGGGGAAAAACATTGAAGAATTTTGTCTTGCATCTTCCTACAGTGATGCATGTTACACTTCAGGCTATTAGTACATTAGCTATAGGGCCTTTTAGCAATGACATTATTAGACTTAATTCATTGACAACTATAATACATTTGAAGATTTACAACCAAATTCCATTAGGTCACATGTCACATGTAAATAAGATGACTCACATAAAAAAATTTAAAACAAAAACAAAACAAAAAGAAACTCAAAAGCATTGTTAAGCACCAGATCCAGTTTAACTCAAGCTTCTTACTATTCTCTACAACAAAAAATTTAAAAATAAAATATAACTGAAAAGAGCACACTCCAATAGAGAGATTGCAGCAAACCAAATTGTCATGAACTTACGTTTGCTCTCTCTTTAGACCCTTCTGGTGGATATATATGTCATGTACCCATACCGTACCTGAAGAGCACATCAAAAGACAAAAATATTGTACAAGAGCAGTAACTAAAGATCAAATGAATGGCTAGACATCTCATAAGACAACTCACCCATCTTGGTCCCAAGATCGAATTATATGAAACCGTCGGCGACTTTCTATCTGCGTGAAATAGTATTATTATAAGTGTGTGAATGGATCATTAAAAAAAACATCATAATTCAAACAAAATACGTTCTGATATGGAAATATTTATCATAGATAAGCCTAATAGTTAATTTGCAACCTCGGGTGTATAAATAAAGACAAAAAATAAAGGATAATTGTTCATTAAATGAAAAGTAGATCGGTTTTAGCATTCATAATGCATTAAAACAATGTAAACAGAGCGCAACAGTACAGATTGAAGTAAAAGGCACTAGTATCTAACCTCTAAATAGAAACGACCATCTGGAAGTGTTTCACACCTACATAAAACATAATTTTTTTCTTTAAAAGGAGGAAGCATGGTAGTGGAGTTTACAAATGACATTCTGCAAACTAGAAAATTAAGAAGGAAAGGAGGAGGATGAAAGACCTACTTGGTAATTTCCACTTCACAAGCAAAATCAGCTATTGAACCTGTTGAAGAATCAATAATAACCTACGTACAAAATTAAGAAACAAGCCACAATCAGTGAAACTTATACTTTGGGTCAAACTTCATACACCTTAAGAAAGTAAAAAGGGAAAGAAAAGGACCAGTGACACTAATCTACCATTCCCATCCAACCGTTGCCTTCCATTATACCCCTTACCCGTTGTTTAAGTGACAAGGTACAAGAAAATACAAACTGCTAACCAACTTACCATAAGTCTTTACCGAGGTTCAAAAATGGGTAGCGGAAACTTCTGAAATGGGAGGACACCATCCATTACAAAGAGTGGCATCAAATCAACACCAAAGTTTGTCATTGTATCATTCTCCAACTTCCTTTCGACAAATTCCTCTGGGAATTTCTTTTGTATAATGTCATTAAGTGTCACAATGGGAAAAACAAAAAGAAGATATTGAAGGTGTCAGAACTGAAGCAAACATTCTTGATGAAGAAGCACGGTGCATCCAAACATACATTAATACTGGCAATCACATCCCACAATATACTCAATTTTTAATAAAGATAAATATAAAGTTACCCAAAAGCTGAAGGTTTGAGTCCTGCTGAAATGGCCCTATATTTTTTAGGGTAATGTACTGTGAAAAGGAAAAACACAAAAGAAGAGCTTCTCTAGGAGGACAAAGGAAAAAAAATAAACAAAACAAAACAAGATGAACAATACAGGAAAGAGGACTAGCACTAGCTGTAGAATGTAATGATATAAACAAGGCCGAATGCCCAATTCGCAGTAGCACTCTTCTTTTATTCTAGGCAAGTACTACTACTAAGAAGTCTGAAATACCTGCACCACCATTTGCAGAAGATTCATGCTAGTAATTGAGCTTGAAAAAATTAAAAGGAAAATGGTTTATTGGTTAGATATAGGACTGCAAGACTTCATCCATTGACTTTATTAGATTTTATGATATTCAAAACCCCAAACAACCTGATTCCTAGTATTTGAGGCACATATTCAGAAAGTAACATGATTTGTTAGGCACGGGCGGATTGTGATGGACATCTACTCCCATCTTTCTTGTATAATCTAAGCAACTGTTAATTATAAAGGGAGAAAAGCATGTAATCTGATTCACATATTTCTTTCTTTCCATTTTTTATTCTATAAGTCAAGTGTGACCAAAACCATCATTTGGAAAATCAACATATCCCTTTGTTTTCCCATCATAATATTCTGTAACCTACAAGAGAATCAACACTTACGTAAATTTATCCTGAAGAACAGCTGCTGCAATATACTCATACTAGAAACCTTTGTAAATATAGGAACCAAATGAAAAAGATACTGCACAAATTTTGCCTTACCTTTATAATGACCAGATGATGACCTGGAAGGTTTACAACCCATGCCAATGTGCTGGTACAAACCAATACCTATAATTTAATAGGTATGCCTAATCAGTATATAGAGTAAAAACATGATCTTTTTATATTCTCTTTTCCTAATGTGTTTTTCAGGAAAGACTCATGCTTACTGAGGTAAGACAGAAATGCCTGAATCTTGTTGTTTGCAAAAAGCTCCTCAACCAGAGATCCATCTTTGTCATTCAGACCGGCATGGTGTAATCCAATGCCAAACTGCAATGTGTGCCTCAGGTTAAAGAACCATCTGCTGGGCTTCTTCTGGCATACTAAGAAACTGCCTTGGATGTTTATCTGACGTTGCCAACTTCAATAACAGAAAAGCACCCAAAAAAATTGAATCAACACCGCAGCCGAAACCGAAGAAAAAAATCCAAGCTTAAGACCGAGTATTTGAATTTTGAAGATTGGACTGCGTCTCTTCATTTTTGAAGATAGAACCTCCCAAGCCGCCTAGGTGCCGCCTAGAACCGCCCAGGCCGCCTAGGTGCCGCCTAGAAACTCCCAGGCCGCCTAGATCCGCCTAGGCCGCCGTGGCGCCGCCTAGATCCGCCCAGGCAGCCAAGGCGCCGCCTAACTCCCTTATAGCCTCAGAGTTGTTATCTTAGTGGAGATTTCAAAAGCTGAATGACGTTTGCTGGTTTTCATAGAGAGAGTCCAATCCAACCCAATCAAGGCAGCAGCCGAAACGAAAGCAAAAAAGAAATTGAAGCTTGAGTTCAGAGAGAGAGAGAGAGATAGTCTTTGAAGCTTGGAAGCGCTAAGCGAAATGGCTGAGTCGCGAGTGCAGGCTTCGTGTTTGTTTTGACTCTATTTAAAGCGTATAGCCGCACGGCTATACCTTTAAGGTATTTGAATATATTCAAAGAGTATAGCCGGACGGCTATACCCTTTAAATACTATATCTAAATAGTACAGCCGTCCGGCTATACTCTTTAAATATACAATTTTGTCATGATATTTTAGGGTCTAGGGCTAAAATACCACTTAGCTAATTAGGATAGAGTTATTTCTTCAATTATTTTATTTATACTTGTGATATTGTGGAATGAGAATTTAAGTTCTTTCCGATACCTCTTATTCTAATGATTTCCAGCTATTAGCCCGTTAGGCAAGAATGAAAAATGAATTTTATTTATAAGAAATAATACGGGTTAAACCCATAAATGCCACAACAAAAAATAGGAATCCAATCCAATGGTTTTGGACCATTCTACATATTACCAGTTACAGGATATTTATTTGTGGCAGCTCTTCTTGCCAATTAATTTTACGATTTTTAGCACCTTTCTACACATTACCTGTTACAAGATTTTTAGCAACCTTGTAAAATTCAAAGATGCAACTTCATAACATCCTCAATTTTGCCATTACCATACAAAGGTTTTGGACCTTGAGTAGACCAAGTAGTGGTGGCTAGAACATTTTATCAAATAGTTTTGCGATGAACCAGCAGTGTTAGAACAGCTACCAAGTTCTAACTCCTGTCCTCTTCAGAAAAACAAGAGAAAAACATTCTGGGGATAATCTAACTAAAAAACGCACTGGCTGCAAAATTTAAATAATAACTATTTTATTGTTATCTTGTAAGTTTCATCCCTGAAAGTTGAAATCCTACCAACCACGTTTTTCCATTTTTGAATTACCTCAAGATGAATTTCCTTTGTTTTATTTTTTATTTTGACATTTGGCTACGGAACTTCTTAACAATCATGGGTTACTTTTGAAGTTTTACATGTACAGATTCAAGCCTTCAAAGTGAGGGCCTTGAGAAGGAGTCCATTTTCAGTGATTTTGTCTCCCACGTGTTCTCTCTCAAAATCTTCATCTCTAATCCTAGACATTTTGCCATTCTACATATCTCCCCAGGCTGTGTGGGTGGGATGTATCACCTGATGAAAACCCATGCAGATACAGTGAACCATTAGCATCACCAGTATCCACCCAACTATATCCCACTTCCTTTCTCACTCCTTTATCTCTCATCCATTTCCCAACTTTTGCTTCCCAGTCCCCTTTCTCAGCATACAAGTTGGACGTCAACCAAAAAGAACCCAATTCCATTGGTTCCAATCTCATCAATGTATCGGCTACTCTCTCCGCCATCTCCACATTCCCATGGATCCTGCAAGCCCCAAGCAGGCTTTGCAACAACGAAAACTCTGGCTGTCCCGGGATCTGACTCATCAATTCCTCTGCTTCCTCCAATTTCCCTGCACGTCCCAACATGTCCACCATACTTGAATAATGTTGAGGAGATGGTTCAATATGATAGTTTTTCACCATTGAATGAAAGAGGTGACGGCCCATCTCCACCATTCCATTTCTGCTGCATGCTGCTAGTATAGAAAGAAATGTGACTGAATCAGGTCTTACCCCTTCTCTCTCCATCTCCTTGAACAATTCTATCACTGAATCATAGTCTCCATGCCCAGAATATGCAGATATTATTGCAGTCCAAGCAAACTGACTTTTATGAGGCGTCTAACTGAAAACTCTTTTGGACTCATAAATGCTTCCTCGCTTTGCATACATATCAAGAAGAGCACCTGCGATAATTGGGCCAGTCACTAATCCAAGTTTGATCAAGGAAGAGTGGCATCATTGGCCATATTTCAGAGAAATATCCTGAGCATCACCAATTGCACTCAAGACACTACCAAATGTGTAATTGTTTGGCTTCGACTCCATAGTTGCTACCAAGAATGTTTTTAGTGCATCATGACACAGCCCGTTCGGAGCATACCCTGAAATCAAATAATTCCATGATATGATTTCTCTGCAGTTTAACTCCTCAAAAACTTTGATGGAGTCATGCATGGACTCAAACTTAGCATACCCAAGCTGTTGCAAACATTATGCTTTGATAAAAAGCCAGTCTTTATGCAAAACCCATGAATCATTTCGCCTTCCTCCACCAACTTCCTAATTGATATAGCATGGATTAGTCCAACAAATGTAACATCATTTGGACATCCAATCTCATCTCATTAAATGAGACATGATCAAACCCCATCCCTTCTCCCACCATCTCAATAAAGACAAAAATCGCCTCAAGCCCATGATTTCCCTCTTGAGAGTAACCTGATAGTATTGCATTCCATGAAACACCAGATCCTCATTCGCCATTTCATCAATACACATTCCTAGCTTCTATTAACCGCCTCTACCTCGAATACGTACTTATAAGTGCATTTCCAACAAAAACTTCACCATCTAAACCAGACTTAAATATAAGAGAATGCAGTTGTAATCCAAATAGAAAATCTTCATGATCCGCACAAAAAGCAAGAATTGTAGTATAAGTCACTGGATCAAAAACAACTCCATTAAAATTCATCCTAAGAGCAAAATTCAGTGCACCCTCACTTGTTCGAAACCCCTAAAGAATAGTATTCCAAGAAACTATATCAGTATAGCACATAGTCTCAAAGATAAGTAAGGGACCATCAAACTGTCCAGCTTTGGTGTACATACTCATAAAAGAATTTGAAACCGTAGTATACGAAGCAAACCCAGAAGAAACTGCAAACCGGTGAATTTGGCATCCGGGTTTGGGGTCCTCTTGACAGGCCTTGATAGCTAGGGTAACGGTATTTTCATCGATGTTATGAGACAAATGTAGTTGAAGTTGCACTCGCATCTCAAGCTTCGATTTTCATTTTTATTTTTTCGTTTCGGCTGCTGCGTTGATTGGATTGGATTGGACTCTCTCTACGAAAACCATCAAATGTCATTCAGCTATTGAAATCTCCACTTAGATAACAACTCTGATGCTATAAGGGAGTCAGGCGGCCTGGGCCGATCTAGGCGGCGCCTAGGCTGCCTGGGCGGTTCTAGGCGGTGCTGGTGGGTCTACCCGGAGCCTAGGCGGCCTGGGCGGGTCTGGCCACCTCCTTTTTGTTCCAAATGAAGACAGACGAAGCTTGCACTCGCAGATCGAATATATTTAACGATTACAGCCGGTCGGCTATACCGTAAAAATGTTCAAATATATTCTAAGAGTATAGCCGAGCGGCTATACTGTGAAAATAATATATTTAAATAGTATCGCCGAGCGCCTGTACCTTTAAAATATTCGAATATATTCCAATAGTATAGCCGGGCAGCTAGACCGTTAAAATAATATATTTAAATAGTATAGCCGCGCGGCGATACTATTTAACTATACAATTTTGTCATGTTATTTTAAAATACCACTTTAGCTAATTAGGATAGAGTTATTTCTTCTATTTTTTTATTTTTTTTTATACTAGTGATATTGGGGAATGATAATTTAAATTCTTTCTAATAGCTCTCATTCTAATGATTTCCAGCTATTAGTCCATTTGGCAAGAATAAAAAATGGATTTTATTTATAAGAAATAATACGGATTAAACCCATAAATACAACAACAAAAAATAGGGATCCACCAACATTTTGGGGATAAAAGAATCTTGAATTTCATATTGTAAAATTGCTTGTGTAAGAATTTACTTTCTAAAATGTATCCATCGTAATTATAAATTAAACCCAATGACAACTTTTTTCTCATTGCACTTGACAACCCTGCTCTTTTGCCCTTGGGTGTATAGATCAAACTATATATAAAATTAAAAACCTACCCAAGGATGGCTAGTCCCGATATCTGAGATCGAAGCGATACCAATATCTGAAATGGAGGTGATGTCTAGTCCTGTTCAACATCCCATCTATGAGATCAGAGCGATACCGATATTTGAGATGGAAGTGATGTTGGTCATGATGAGTGTATTGAGTAATTTTTGGGGTTTATTTAGACACGTCCATTGCATTTCATTTTCTTGAATTTGTGATCACATAACAAAATCAATAATGTTACGTCTTTATAACTTATTCCTTCTCATCTCATATAAAAAATAAAGATACAAAGCTCCCATTCCCATCCTTCCTTGCAATGACAAAAACTTCCACTACCGACTTATTCACCAAATAGAAAATCTTGAAGTAAACTTTGAATACATACAATTATTCATAAATCACAATATAAACAAGTATCGTGTTTTTATACGAATATGATATTAGCGTAATGTGGGTTATTACTTATTCATTAAACAACATGTTTTACTTACTAAACAACAATGTAAGCAATGTATTAGGGAAGGAGGGAGGGAACTAATGGGAATGAATATAATTTTGTAATCCGCAGATCCAGACTTTACAACCGACAACTCAAGGGTGGTCCCTGCATTCACACTCTGGCTCCTCCCTATACTATGTACTTAGATACCTTCTCCCCACGTTTCCTGGGCCAAAGTGAGAAATGGCTCTTTCTGCCTCCTTCCCCACTCTAACTCCCAAGTTATCGTGATTCTCTTCCTTTCAATTTTTTAACATCAACCTACCATCACACAGGCCAAAAATTGGCTCATATCTTTTGTAGTAACTTAAGATGTCGATGTATATTATGATTTAACAATGATGACTGCATCATCACAATGATTGGTATGCAACAACCCCTCAATAAATTGTTGAACCGTAACACAACGTGTCATGTAAGTGTAATGTTGTGAATCCGTTCAAACTATAGTAAACTATTATTAACTAGTCTTCGATTTAGTAGTAGTTGTCTTCGTTTAATAAGAGTAGGTCTCAAGTTTCTGCTCACATGACTGCGAGAACGCAAAGACAATATATATTTGTGATGAGTTAAATTGATGAATTCTTTCTTTTAATAAATACGATATTAGAACACGTATCAGTAAATATAATACAAATAGTTTTATTCCTTCACGTCTAATTAAAGGAGTTAGTTGATACTTATTCTTGACCAGCTGTAAACAAATACTCACTATATTTGCAAAACCCGTTTTTATGGTAAATGAATGAATTTACATGGACCCAGAAACAAGCCTAATTTAAAGAAGAAGACATGATTGCCTCCAGCTAAATTGAAAATTTTCCCAATCATCACCCAAATTAAGAACTTCTTGTTTACTTTTTTGGACTCAAAACCAAATTAAGACCTCAAATTATCGCGAAAAGTATAATAAATTCTAAAAGATTATGAGAAACTCCACACCTTGTTGTCACCCATCACAGAGGAGAAAATGCTGTAAATGCAGAGAATTAGAACTCCATGGACCCCACCACCTCACACAGGGCCCCCCACAACACGAATAAGAACAGCCTGTAATGAAGCTGTGAACGCTACATTTCACCTCACCACCTTCTTCTAAAAACAAAACAAAAACACAACGCAAAACCCAAAACACACATTTCATCATTCTCCTCTCTGTTTTCCTCTTTTTTCTTCTTGAGCTCAAATTTTGCAGAGCTTTCAAAACAGAGCCAACAGCAACAGCAACTTGCTTCAGATTTTCCAACCATGCCCGCAAGCCAATCACTCCCAGTCTCACAAGGCCTTCAAGATCCATTAACAGAGCAGCCAGGCCTGCGCAGGAGGCTCTCTTCTCTCTCCCTCAAGCTCCAGCCCATCTCATCCCCTGCAACATCATGGGCCTTGAGCAGATCTAAATCGGTTTCCGCCATGGGAGAGTATGCAGGAGGGTCCATAAGAAAATGGTGGCTCTGGGGCTGGACTTGGATCCTCTCCAGAAAACCCATCTTTGCTCAAGATCTGGAGATGAACGAGGAGGAGACTAAAGTTCTTGGCTCTGACAACAGAGGAAGCTGGAGGCATGTGTTCTACAAGGTCAGGTCAGAGCTCAAGAGGCTCGTGGGTTCTGATGTGGGCAGCCTTCCTCAAACTTATAGGTACAATTTTGATGACGGGAGAACCAAAACCAAGAAAATGCTTGGCTGAGATTAATGGGTAAGTGTTGGTTTGTGAAATTAATCAACAAAGGTCGGGCCTTTATGGATCAGAAGTGTACTTGTTAATGTTCTTGTTCATGTTCCTGCATGAAGATCATTATACCATTGTAATTAGATAGGTTCATGTTGTTGTTGCTGTTGTTGTTGTTCTATTATCTGTCATGTGGGCTTGCTGTGGAAGAAGGTGGTTCATTAATGGTGGTCAGATTTCTCTGCAATTTGTGGCAAATTGAGGTGATGGTAGCACTAATATTCCAACAATCAGCAATGGGAATTGCAGGGTTTGCTTGCTGCTCATCATTTACCAGAGGTTCATGGGATGGTTAGAGAGAGAGAGAGAGAGAGAAAGAGAGCAATTTATTGATTAGTAAATACTCCAATATGGTTGTTATTATTTTATTTTTTTAATTGAAAGCCATTGTTTTTTTGCAGGTTCCATTATTTGTATAAGTGGCTCTTTATGTGCTAGTTAATTGCTAGTAATGAAATATTTATAATTAGGTCCTCTTCCTTCTTCCTTGATGTCTTGCTTAATTCAATCCCTCAATGACTATTACAATGTATATGAGAAGAACCAGCTCAGCTCTCAATCTTTGTGATACTAAGTCAATTTCAATATTGGTAGATCTATGACAATGGGATCCATCTATGCCTTTAGAGTGAAGTTTGCTTCTTCTTTTTTCCAATGTTATTTCTTTTTAATAATAAAGACAATTTACAGAATATAAGCGCGTAAACACGCATATCTCACACGCTTTTTATATTATAAAGACTTAATTTTAGAACGTCTAAGTTTACCTCTCGTTCCACGACCTGCCTAATTCTAGACCACAATTTTTAGATACTTATTTTTGTTTTTTTGGTTAAGTGGACAGAAAAAAGGTATCTAAAAGAAAAGGCAATAAGGCCAAATATGGAGTCTATTTTTTGCATTTCCAATTACACAAATTTTGACTGTCGGTGATGCATGCCAATTTGCCAAATTCCAATTTCATTGCCAGCAAGCAAACATGATATGAACAGACACTTACAGACAAGGATTACCCCATGAAGCCTCATCTCTGTTCTAGTCACCAAGAACTCGTATCTAATTTTGCATGGTAGGGTTTTCATGTCATGTTTAAAAAATTTTAAAAAAATATTTGAAGGACTTTGAGGTCTTAAAATTATAGGACCAGATTTTGCTTTTCACCTGAACCAAGTAGAAAGTGTCGGTGTATATATTTGGATGCTCATTCTTTTTCCAAACATAAACCAATAAAAGAAAAAAGGGGAAAAATAAATGAATAAATAATTAGTTTTAGTTTTTGAGTTTTGACCAAACCATGACAGCACATGGATCCCATGATTGCACCGACTGAATAGTTGACACTATTGGAGAGTCAAATTGGTAATGGGTGAGCTGCCAAATGCCAATCATCAAATCTTTTATTCCTTCAATCTTTTACAATATTAGTCCAATCTAATTCTAGGATGGAGTAATATTTTAAGACATGCTAACCAATAAGCACTAAACCAAACTTTGTTAAATTTTAATCCAAATTTGTCAGAATAATGCTAAAGATAAACTATGTATGCACTACATTGTGAACAACATTTTTAACCCAAGTGAGATGTCAACCTTATATAATAAAGGTCATCTCTTTTTTTCCTCTAATGCATGTGAGTAAAAAGTTATATTGAAACCTGAATATGGGTTTGAGTTTGGGATAAAAATCAATTTGGGGTTTTGGGTTTCTGGTGCATTGGAGAAACCCTAATCTATATTTTGAATCAGGGGCGAAGCCACATACAGGTCTGCAGTGGTCGTGGCCCCCGAAGTTTCATGAAAAAGTCAATAACTCTTAAACACCTGCTGCTATATCAATTGAAATATAAAGCTATAAAACCTTGAAACTACAGTACTGGCCCTCCAAAGAAAAGCTACTAGCCCTGTCACCATTTTGAACCACAGTTGTAGATGGCGAATATGTGATTCTAATGTTGTTTATAGATGTGGTCCAAAAATTTACTAAAATATATCACAATTGTAACTTTAGTATAGTAAAAGATGAGACAACAAAATTACTAAATTAGTAGAGACCAAAATACGGTTGGCAAAGAGTTTGGTCCATTTTCTAGTTAAGATTCAATATGTCATTTTCACTATATGTTTGGTACTTGATGTGGCTCACAATCTAATAGTGTTTTTCATATTCGGCAAATATACCATCACCTCGTAAGCAAAACAATGCATTTGACACATACAAGCGAAGCCATAACCAACGTTTAAATTCACAATTGAGCAAAAAAGTATTTCCTCTCATAATCATTGGGATATATAAAATATTGGGTTGTGCTTGAGTTCACCTCCAACCCACCCAATTTGTGGAGGCCCAAAATGTAAAATAACAGAAATACATCAGATGATACGACATCGTTTGCAAAGTGCCGTTGATTCTCCAGGCTTCCTAAGTTCCCAACTGCCAAAGATTCAGAAGAATATTCCATCATCTTGTTTGTGCAGCCAAGCAACTAAGAACAAGGCCACAACTGTGTCCTTTTCTTTCCTAGCTTCATTGTTGTGTCTGAGGATAAGAGCAGAGAACGGCCACCATAACCCACAGCATATTTGAAAAATCCAAGTCTCATGGCATTGGCTTTGAACAGCATAATCCCCCACACCAGAGCTTTGAGCTTAAGCACTTCTTTGCCTTCTAAAAAGCCTTCAAGCCCTCAATTTCAACAGCCTCAGAATCGTCGCCAAAGCACTCAAATTGTGCAAAGCACTGCCTCGTCCTCCACCAACACCACCCTTTCTGATGTTAAACTCCAAATTCAGGAGGACAGCAACTTCAATCCCACTTCCACTTCTGCCACTGGTAAGTTTATTCTAAGCTCTCTAAGTCAAAAGCTATGGTGATGCTTCTGCTTATTTATTTTAGGATTTGGCTTTTTGGGTTTAAATAAGAGCATCTGATTGTATCTATAGCAGCAAAAAGTTTTCATCTTTGCTTAATATTTGGAGCAAATGAAGCTATTTGGATTTGGGTTGTATAATTCTGGTTAATTTCCAAACAATTTGCATGTTGCCAATCTAAAATGGTCAGTTGTTATATACCTGGTTTGATATATAGCAGAGAAAAAGGATTGGATAAGAGATGGTGATGGTTAAATTTCCATTCTTTATGTTATATATGTGAAATCTAGAATCTGAAGTTGATATATTTAAGATGCATTTAATTCAATTTCTCTTTTATCAATCTTCTTTATCTGTTCAAGCGTGGTCCGAATTTGCCAGAAATGTGTCCGGTGAATGGGATGGCTATGGAGCAGACTTCACAAAGGAAGGGAACCCAATTGAACTTCCTGAGAATGTTGTACCTGGAGCTTACAGGGAGTGGGAGGTTAAGGTTTTCGATTGGCAGACTCAATGCCCCACTCTTGCTAACCCGGAAGAGCCCGTTCTTGTGTACAAGAATATAGAGCTACTTCCCACAGTTGGATGTGAAGCTGATGCTGCTACACGATACACCGTCATTGAGAAGAACATTGGTGGTGTGAATAACGAAGTTTCTGCCTTTGCATATCAGTCTAGCGGATGCTATGTGGCCGTCTGGCCAGTTGAGGAAAAGGGTAATAAGTTGTTGGAGTTGGAGTATTGCTTGATTAACCCTCAAGATAAGGAGTCTCGTGTGAGAATAATTCAGGTCATCCGTATAGAAAATATGAAGATGATGCTGCAGAATACAAGAGTGTTTTGTGAGCAGTGGTATGGACCATTCAGAAATGGGGATCAATTAGGCGGGTGTGCTATCCGGGATTCTGCCTTTGCTTCTACGGCTGCATTGAAAGCTTCAGAAGTTGTTGGGACTTGGCAGGGCCCAAGAGCTCTTGCCAATTTTGATGGTTATGGTTTGGAAAATGTGAGTGATGAAAATCCTTCTCTTGTTGGTTTGGTGTGTACATTTTGATTGATATGCTCAAATTAAGCTCAAATCCCTGAACATAATTGTGTGCCGTAATTAGACTATTGTGCTCAATAAGTATGCTTGAGAGGTTCAAATAATTCTTTTGTTTGGTTAAAAGTTTGTGACTTTTCTTGCTGCGGAGGTTCACTTCATTCTTTGCTTTTGCCACTATGGGAATCACATCCATGTTTTGATCCATAGGAAGAAGCGTCTACATATTCTTGTGTTGAATTCTCCTGAAGCTATTACCTCAACGTAATTGCATATCAATCCATTTGGTAGACTGTCGTTGATTTGTTGGATTTCTTGTAACTCCAAGGTCTAATTAGTATATAATGTGAACAGGATAAACAGAACTTTTTTCAAGAACTTTTAGACAACAGTGAGCAGAACTCCGTAAGAGATGAAAGTGGTCTGATATTTCTTCCCAAGCAGTTGTGGTGTTCACTAAAAGAATGTAAAGATGGTGATACTTACAGCGAGGTGGGATGGCTGTTGGATCATGGACGTGCCATCACATCAAAATGCACCTTCTCAAGCACAGCATTGCTGAAGGCAAGTTTGCATCCATATACCACATATTTTTCTGCATATATATTTATTTGTTTTGAATTTCAGCATCCAATGACGAGAACAAACCAGCCAAGGATTCAGTCCTACATATTTGACTAGATCATAGTAAATAGGTTCCGATTGCTGGTTTCGTCTCATTTTCGGATACTGCTGCCGTATTTGTGGCTTCCATGGTGAAATCCATCTGTGTCAATATATATTGTGCTCCAATTAATAGATTTTACAAGATAGTTTCAGTCCCTCTTTGGTTTTAAGTCTGGTCACGTAAATGGAGCTGAAATTCAGATCTCACAGTTTCTCATGGTCACTAACAAAACAGTGTGTGCTTATTTTGACATCATTCCATCTTCTTTTGCAGGATATCTCAGTATCATATGAAACTGCAACTTTGAAGGCCACATAGAAATTTCGGATGAGTTCCAATATGAAATATCTATCAGTCGCAATGCAAGCAAATTCAAACACAAACATCGAATTTTATATGAAATGTATCTTCAAGTCTCTTTTTTTTATCTTTTACTTTTTGATCTAGTTGAGGCAATGGATAACTACAATAAGCCATCGACATCACGTGGCCAATAATGTCGTGTACAAAACTTGTGCTATTTTGTTCAAACTCATAGTAATACAACATGCTCTGAAATGTAGTTTGCAAGTTGAAACAGCAGCCTGCTGGTGGATTTTGTACCTCATTTTTCTGACATGGTTTTGATCAAATATGATGTAAATAATGCTTGTAAATACCAACAGGATGATTTTTGAAAGAAAAAAAATACCGACAGGATGAACATTTGCGAAAATGCAGGGATTGTTATCTAGATTACAGCAAATTTGTTTGGTTGAACAGACAAATCCCAGAGACAGCTCCAAAGGAATCCAATCTGGGTTTGTCAGTGCCATTATAAATCTTTAAATGGACAACAAATGAGACAAATATGCACGTGATAGGAGCAACAACATAGTTCCAACAATATGACACAACTAGAAAGAAACCCATCATTTATTGGCTTTTTTTATTTTTAGTAAAAGAATTTCTCACACACACAACTATGATGTCGTAGGGATTCGAACCTGAGATCTCTGATATGCAAGTAAAGACATTTTTTCATTAAACCATACCCTGTTGGGTATTGGCATTTAACTATGATGCCGTGAAAATTCGAACCTGAGATCTCTGATCTGCAAGTAAAGACATTTTTTCATTAAACTAGACCCCGTGGGGTATTGGCATTTTCTTTAAAAGCCCGATGAGGGCACCATAAAATTAGGGTTACTGAATTGTTAGTAAAGTAAAAAGATTACAATTATTTCTCAGTGTTTAAAAGGCTGTAATTTATTTGATTAAGAAAAAAGGCTGTAATTTCTTTTTTTCCTTTCTGTTTCGCTTTATCATGTGGCGGATGGAGCCTGGAGTTATTTGCCTTCACAACAATCATATGACACCAACAAAACATCTTTTAAAGGAAAACACCCAAAAAGAAATTAGCATCTTTGAATAGTTGTAACACTTCCCACTCTGGAGTCAACAAAGCTTACAACATGTTCTGTGGTCATACAGCAACATAAAGGCTGCACAAAAATGAAAACAGGATCTCCACAACTCAAATCTTCTGGGGCCTATTGAAATCTACTGGAGTTGAGGAATTAAAATTTGCTTCTCAAACTTCTACCATCAAATCTCCTCTTCTGACTTTGCTGTACAACCTGCCAAAACCAAGTAAGATTACTTACAAATAGTCTAAAAGTCTCCCACATAGGCTAAAAGACCAATAATATTCCTTACAATGGTTATCTGGAAACATGAGAAGAATCTTTTGAAATTCTTCTGATATCTTAGAAGTGGAACAGATAAATGAGAAAACAAAAATGCAGAAAATGATACCTTTACATAAAGCTGACGTGCTTAGTTGGAAGCTAAAGAGCTCCTGGTGCATCTCTCATGCTCAAATTTAGACTGTTCCTCATAGTCCGTCTTCCAATTGGCATATTGCCTTTCACATTGCCCTTTTGCATCATGGCAACGAACTCACCGTAGTCAATTCTTCCATCCTGCAATGCATGCGAGAATTGAAGCTTGAGTAACATTTATAGCAAGAAGCCTAAATCTTAAAATAGATGGTACAAAACATAATTCTCCATTAAACTATTTCCATAGGAGATATTCTGATAGAAATCAAACACTCTGGTCAACTATTTGATAAAGCAGAAATATGCACTTTCCTCATGAAATTTTAATGACTTACATTATCTTGATCAACTTCTCTTATAATATCTTCAAGAAGAACGTCAGTCATGTGATGTTCTGCACAAGCTTGTTGGAGCTCATCAACTGTAATATAACCACTTCCATCCTTATCAAAGTATCGAAAGGCTGCAACCAAATGTTCTTCACGTTCTAGTTTGTTAAGATGAACTGTAGCAGCTATGAATTCCCCATAATCAATAGTCCCACTGTTGTCAACATCAGCCTGGAAAGAAGTAAAACAGCTTAGTTTTTTGAAACATAAACAAAGTCAAAGATAATGAATTTGGCACATTAACAAGAAGATTGAGAATTAGACATGTCTGTAAGCCTATAAAACAATCTATTTTGAAACAAGCATCTTACTGCATCCATAAGATCACGTATCTCTGTATCCTTCATGGTAGAGCCGTATCTTCGCAAGCCAGCTTTGAGTTCATCAAATGTGATAGCACCACTATTATCAGTATCCATTGCCTTGAACATCTCTCTCAGCCCAGCAATCTCCTCCTCAGAAAGGCTTTCAGCTATTACCTGATAATACATTAGAAATCTTGAGAATAAGTTCTACCATCTAGCCCAGTTAGGGGGCATGCCAACCCAAAAGTCAACATGAACTATAAAGTGGGCCCTGAGATTTGAGGGACCATATGCGTGAACTATAAATGCACGTTCCAAATACCAAGCCAAAAACTGCATGAGTAAAGAATCTAAGAAATACCAAAACTGACACAAAATGCATAACAATATGTTTCAGTCTCCTGCATGCACTTACCCGTAAAGCCATCTTCTTTAACTTGTTCATAGCAGAAAACTGTTTGAGACGAGAAAGTACAGCTGGATCTAGTGCTCTATCAGGAGCAACCCCATTTTCACAAATCCAAGGGTGACCTGAAAACGAAAATACGTCACTTGAAAGCTTAAGAGTAGCAAAAGTGTGCAATTTACACTGGGCAATTATGATGAATAACACTTCAACGGTCTTTCTAATCTTCATTTCTTAAAATTTGAAAAAGCTCACACTAACAAGGAAAGCTAAGCAATAGGTGTTAGTCGAAAAGAAAGGAACATCTCCCACATCATATACTTTAAATGGTTAAATCTAGGCAGACTTCTAAAGTTTATTCCTTTTTAGCCAAATTTTTCTCAAGAAAACATAGCTGATTCTCTTTAGACATTGAATGCGCTGAGTTCAACTTAAAAGGGCCTGAAGTTTTATCCAGCAAATTTTTAGCATAATGTCGTTAGCAGCAAATATTGTGCATGTAGTAATAATGACATGATCCATCCAACGAAAAGAAAAGGAGAACAACCAACAACAAATAAACTTCCTATTCTGGTCACATTAAACCATGCACATTATTGCACTAAAATAAGGTTTAAACGTACATAGCACTTCATGAGCAGTCAAGCGATCTGAAGGCTGAGAACAGAGCATTTTCCGGATCAGGTCTTTTGCGCTGTCAGATATTAAGGGCCATGGCTCTGACTCGAAGTCAATATATCCCTTCAAGACCGCATCAAATATCCCCTGCTGAGTTTCTGTACACCAAACAAGTAAAACTTTTCAGTAATAGAAAACATGAAGTAACCTCTGCTTCACACTAAATACCAAACCACCATTACCTGCCCAAAATGGTGGCACACCACTTAGCAAAATATACAGAATAACGCCTGCAGTCCACACATCTGCTTCTGGTCCATAATGCTTGAGGAGTACCTCCGGAGCAACATAATATGGGCTTCCAACCACATCAGTGAAAACTTGACCTGAAAGACAGTTGAAAGAGTTAAAGAGACACAACAGTGACACTGCAATGCATTCCAGCTTTTCAATTATTATCTAGAAACAGTACCAATCAATTCAGAACAGAAGTTAAGAGAACTTATTACTATATACACACTACATATGTTTAACTACTGAAATGCACACGAACTTGATATAACCCATAAATTAAATACAAGTGTAGAAAATCAAATCCCCTAACATAAGATGTTCCATTTTACTATTAAAATTATACTATTGAAGTGCACTAGTTATTTACTATGCTCCAGATAATCATAAATAAAAATTCAAAAAGGAAACCACATTTATTTTTGCTTGTTTACCTGGTTTGAAGAAAACTGAGAGTCCAAAATCAATGGCTTTGAGAGAGAAGTCATCGTCCTTGTTAACTAACAAGAAGTTCTCAGGCTTTAGATCTCTATGCATGACACCAAGTGAATGGCAAGCTTCAACAACCCCAACAATAATCCTTGTCAACTCAGCTGCCCTCCTCTCACTGTAATGTCCCCTCTGGATGATGCGGTCAAACAACTCACCGCCAGCACAAAGCTCCATCACTATATGAACGTACAGTGAATCCTCGTAGGCACCCTTGATTGTCACAATATTCTTGTGACCAGCCAAATGGTGCATTATCTGAATCTCCCTCCTCACATCGTCCACATCCTCCTTTGAGATCAACTTCCTCTTGGAGATAGACTTGCATGCATACTGATTGCCCGTAGCAATCTCGGTGCATAAATAAGTAGTCCCAAATTGTCCCTGTCCTAACTTATGACCCAACGTGTAAAGATCACGAATGTTGGCAGTCTTATGACCCAACACATAATAGCTTTGGTTATCAATGCATCTCCTCATGGTGTTGTCTTTCCTGGGACTAATGATGGGTGGATTACTATTGTTATGGTTGTTTTTGGTTTTGGGGCTGACTTTGGAGAATTCTTGGGGAACGTTGTGCTGAGATTTCAAGCTGGATGGGGAGTGGTCAGAAGTCGAATGGTCAGAAGAGGTGTTGGGCTTGGAAATGGAAGCAGATTGGTCTTCGGGCTGGCTGTAGCCCTGAAAATATTTCCCCCTGAAAGATCCACGGCATGTGTTGCCCATGAAACAATCACAAATCCCCTCAAGACTTTTTCACAGACTTTCCCACACCCAATTGGTTTCTCATCAATTCGCTCTGGAAGCATGCAAATAGTACATAACACATTCAGTCAAAGTTAAAATAAGCAATAAGCATGGCTAACAAATCCAAGAAAAGTTCATCATCATAATAAACAGATCAGACCTATGGGCTCCACATATATGAATCCATTAACCATGAAAAAGAAAGCAAGCAAAGCATTGAAATTGAATTTTCCATGCAACCCAAGAAAGACCCTTTTCTTTTTCTCTAGTTTTTCCATGATATAAATCCATATCATACATACGATTATTGCAACAAGAGCTTACCAATTAACCACAAAGATCAAATCTTTAAACATAAATAAAACAACCCAGCAACCAGAAAACCAAAAAGACCAAGATTCAGATATTCACACACAGAAAGACAGATAGAAAGCAAGAAAGCAAATACATTTTTTAGAGAAAGAGAGAGAAAGATGGAGCCTTTACCAGTTGAAAAACTTGAAACGACGGGAGTGTGAACGAATTAAACACAAGGTGGGAGAAGAACAAGGTGCTTATGAAGATTTGATTTTGATCTCAAAATCAACAAAAGGCTTTGAGATTGGAATAATCTTTACAGCTATAATGATTTTGAAAAAATGGGTTTCTTCCAAAATTATATTTTTGTTAATTAGGGGCTGTTTTGGATTGTTGTTATTTTGGGATGGTGTTGCTGGGAAACATCGGAGGTGAGTGCTGACCAGCTATTCTCATCTCAAGTTCTAACCTTCCCCTCTCTCTCACTCCCTCTCACTCCTCTCTTCACTTTTATTTTAATTTTTGAAATTAATTAAATAAAAACCATATACCAGCTATTTTAAAACGCGTCTTTTTTAATGGCCTTCATGTCATCCAATAATTTTCCATTTATTTATTTTAATCTTTTGTGATTTATTTTTGTCTGAACAATGAAAATAAAAGGAGCACACGGCATTCTTGGAACTGGGGGGAGGAAAAAAAAAAAAAAAAAAAAAAAAAAAAAAAAATAAAAGTTGACCACGTTGACCGCCGTAGAGCCGCGGTGAAAAAGGTGAGTTCCGAGATTATGGGTCGGGTTGGTTCCGAGAATGGGGTGTTGCGATGTGAGTGTGATTGGTGCGTGGATGACACGTGGCGGTGAATGGCGGTGGGTGTGTAGAGAGGTTTGTTTGGTCAAAATGTTCGAGCTGGTTTTTCTGGCAGCTAAATTTAGAGACACAGTTTTTTGTGTCAGAGGCGCTGTTTGATTCTCCAAACTGCATCACAAGTTAAATTGGCAAAACTTGCATTCACTGGTTGCATGCAACACGTTTTACAGTTTTTAACATTATGTGAGTAGTAGATCGACGCACATATTCCATACAATGGTTGCATTAAAATTGAAATTCAGACGGCAAAGGGTCTTGTAGCTCAATTGAGCATTTATCTTATAATCGAGATCCTAAGTTAGACACCTTCTCTCTTTTTCAATATCGCTTGTATCAACTGAAAAAAAGATAAGGCGACGAAGGAGGGGAAGAAAAGTAAATAAAATTATCTGTGCAAATCTTTTTGTAGATTATAGCCTAGTTTCATAACAGAAAACAGTAATATAGGAATTTTTGTGCAGACAATTTTGCAATCATTATATGTACAAATAAACTGATGGCACCATTCCTTTTGTGTGTTGTGTAAGGCCAAATTCTACCAATTCATTACTCTTTTACTTAAAAATGAACAGCATTTTTTTCTTCTTTATTTTATGATTAAAAGGAGGTTTAGAGCCTGATGAAGAGAGGAAGGGAATTAAACTATTTTTCTAGATGTTAGATAAGAGCTTAATTACTATTGTTAGGAACCCTGCAAAAGAGGTTAAAAAGCTTCCATTTTGATGGATAAATATGGATAGATTTGGTACAAATTTGCCCTTTCAACAGTTCCTCCACAGAAAAGTTGGTATGCTTGCCATTCATTTATGGGTCAGCAACAGTCAATTCTGACCCAAAATAAAAAAAAGAAAAAGGTAGAAACAACCATTCCCCAAAAAAAAAAGTTACTATTATGTATGAAGGGTAGTTTTCTTTTTTCTTTTGTTGGCTGCCAAGTGAAATCCAAAACCAGTTAATTAGGTGGGGTGGTCCACACGATAATCCAGCCAAATGGATAAGTGCCAGATGTGCTTGACCAATTCTAATCGTTAGAGGGTCACTCCAAATTTGCACAACCAATTTGTAGTCAACTCACTACAACCAGAAAGGATGAAAAGGGAAAAATCGCTTCGCGGACTGTATATATATTAATCCTAGCAGCCATATGACTCTTTGACTTAGCTGCCTCGTGTGCATGACCTTGACATTCTATCTAACTTATGTTGAGGAGCCAAAATCCTATTAGGATTATGCTAACACCAGTCTTCAACGATCGAGTGGATGACTCTGAACTATTAATGCATTCGCATGTAACAGTACTAGTATGCTAGTATTAGTTTCCCGTTAGAGAGTGTGTAATTATAGGCCGTTAATATATGGCTCGTTTGGAAGAGCTATAATTATTTATAAGAAAAAACACATCTCACGTGCTTTTTCATATAATTATTTTATGTGATTTTAAGCGATTATGAGGAGAAAATCACTTTAAATGATTTTTTATAAACATTGGTTTATCCAAATCATTTTATACTCTCTCACATACTTTTTCAACATAAACATTGATTTTTCTAAAGGTCACATACGTCAGAATCCACAATCTCAATTTACTGTGGAAAGCTTTTTATTTTATTTTATCGAAACTGTGGAAAGCTTAATTCAAAGCAAATGCACACTTCGGTGGATTCCCACTCCCTCATGGCACCTAGGAAGATTGAACTCCAATGGAGTTTCTTTCCTCTAATATAACTCACACCGATCCCAAAAAAAAAACAAAAAAAAAGAGAAAAAGAAAAAGCTAAGGCATACTTTTCTTTTTAATTTTTAAGTTTTAATTTTTACCGAAAAGCATTCGCTTTTGGCCCTCAAATATCGGACCACGCTAGTTGGTAGACTTTTTAGCCAAAAGACTCACGACCACATAGCACTTGCCTTGCACCCAAGAAAGGTTCCACAAAGTGTAATTGGCAATTTACTTTATAGGTTCCACGAAACCTATTGCCACAAATTACACTTCTTTTCAAGTATACAAAATGTCTTTCAAAGCAGGATCACATTTTATAACTGCTGCTGCTGCTGCTGCACTTTAACATAAAGCATTAAGCATGCAGAAGCTATTTACATCTCATCTTATGTACCCAAAATCATAGAGTATCATGAAGCTAGACTGCATGACCTTCAAATATTATGGATAAAAATTAATAAACCCCGGATACGACAAAACTCTCAACTCAAAATGCCACCTATACCGCGAACGAACCGTGACATAACAAAGGATCAAAGTTGTAGCAATTGCTGGCCCCAAGGAGTGACTATCTCATCCTCAAAGACAGTGATCCTATTGAATTGTTCTTTATCTAATCTAATGATCTTAAGCTGATAGGTTAGCTTCTTCAAGACGCCTGGTAAGCCCTCCACTGGAAGGCCTGAAATTTTTTCAAATGGAATTTATAATTAGATGAAAGGAGGAAAGGAAATATGTTGTTGTGTCTGTATCAAGTGAAATGCACTTACAATCCACATAGAACTTTAATGGTGTCATAGAAAAACCACTGCAAGGTAACAACAGGTCCGACAAGTGTAATTCGAACAGGAAGACTTCTAGTAAATAGATTAACGAGCCCGATGTTCTTCACAGCCTGGAGATAAGATATAAAGCCAATGCAATTGATGCTTTTTCCTTCAATTACTAGAAATAAACCAAAGAAAAGCTTAGTTCAAAGGGTTACCTGCATCACATTGTCAGCCTTTTTGTTGTATAGAGAGGAAACAATGTTGTCTGCAGGGTTAGAAATAACAGTACCGACAGCTCCTGCTGCATAGGCCGCTAAACATGTCACACCAAGCTGTTGGGGTCTTGAGCAATCTTCTTTTCTTCTTTGCATAACTTTGTGATAAATCAGATCCACTGAGTGCTCAAACGTCGTGAACATTATCATCGAGACTGTGAAGAACAGTATTCACATCAGAAAAGTTAATAAATATTTGCATCAAATTCACAGCATGTACTAATCTTCAGTCTCTACTGAGTGCTTGATGAAGGTAACTGAGAACAGATAGCAACTTTCTCATGATAAATGCCAGAAAGCATGTAACTGATCCTTGGATCGGGCACGACACAAGTAGCACCCTGATCATGACCATACACATTATGCTACTCTACGCAACCACAGGCTATAATTTTTCATTCTCAAAGGTAACTGCCAAATACCTTATGTTTTCCTGTTCTGAACAGATGCAGGACTATTCCTGATTTCATATTTCCGATCATAGCACTTAACCAAAATGAGTACAAATAGAGTAGGAAGGTTTGGTCAAGGGCAAATGATCACCTTGGGGTTTTGAGTGAGGGGAAAAACATAACTAATCAAATAGCAATGTGTGATATCAAGTAGCCTTTTGCTCAAATTCCTATATTACTAAGTACGATTATTTGGTGGAATTGGAAAAAAAATGCAAGGTTCTGTATGCAAAATCTCACAGGATAATCAACAAGCAATAAAAGATACAAAAGAAGTGAACGATTCTATGAGGAAATAACCACGGTACTACATGCTAGCAACAATGCAGCTCTAGCAATGTTGATATATCCAAAAACCACCATGATTTAAACTACTATTTGACAGATATCACCATTGGATTTTACAGTGAAACTAATCCATTATTGAAGTCGGAGATGACATGAACCTTAAAACTGCATTATCTGTAGCCTTAGATCCTACCAAGCAAGCAAATGAAAATTTTAAAAATGCAGGGATAGAGATATTACATGGAAGATTTCGACCCCAAAGTGGGAAAAGTCCTTTGTAAAAGCTGCAGTGTAGATAAGCTGATAAGGATTGAGAAATCAAAAGGAGAAAATGATCAAATTTTTTGGGTAACTTACCCAGCTAGCCCTTCGGTTGCATATAGTTTTGGAAACCCATCAACCAAGCCCTTTGCAAAGTAAGGCTGGGTTTGAACTCGGACTTTGACGGCTTCAAAAGGACAGAGAGCCACATCAGCAAATACTTGAGCAGATGCACTGCTGAGAAAGAATATGGTACTCCTGTTATGATCTTTCAATACATCAGAGTAAAGCTTCTTAAAGTATTCGTAGAGACCAAATCTGCAGCCCCCTTGAACACCATATCCGAAAAGTTTCCCAGACCAACCTCTCCAAAGAGAAGAAGGGCCTTGTTCTTTCCAAAGAATAGAAAACCCTGAAGCCATCTTGTTATATTTGATTGGATTTACCTAAAGTGTACAAGTTACATTATTAGAGCATTCTTAAGAAGAATTATGTCCTCGACTGTCAAAAGAGAAACTAATTTATACAAGAGATAAAAATATGGGAGACAAATCCCTTGAAACATGAATATGCAGTAGCAGAAATGGCAGTTGAAACGAATACAAGGAAATCAAAGCAACTACATGAAATTTTATCACTGGAAAGTGAACAGAAATTTGTATCAGAAATGATAGTTAGTTCTATTGATCTGTGATTCATGCCATGTGATGCATAACTACTCTTATTCTTTTTGGCAGTCGAGGACATGACAACTTCTATTCCCCGCACCCTCATTCCCTTTCTGGCAACTTCTATTCTTTAGATACATGACCACTTTATCTATAAAGGCGGGGACAGGGTTTTGACACACTAAAACAAAACTTTAAACTTAGTGTCCTACTACTGCAAATAGTTACCTCATTTGTCATGCCAATCCTTGCATTTAGTACCAATTCATCACAAACTACCCCCAAGACCCACAATAAATAAACAAAGAATAAAACAACCACAGCGGCTAATGTATTATTAATAAAAATTGGTCAGACATCCGGTGGCATTCACCTTTACTTGACAAATATAAGACTGGAGTAGTGGGAAAAAAAAATAATATCAAACTCTTGTGCAAAGTAAATTAAGCACGAACCTTTTGTGCAAACATCCAACAGAATATGTATTGGAAAAAAAAAAGACATCCAACACAATAACAACAAGAAGGAATCAGGGAAATGAATGACAACCATGACGAACAGGACATAAACCCTAAACCCATGAACAATACTCGATCAGCTGAAGATCCTTTCATTGCTAAAAATTCTTCCACTTCCACAAACAAATAGTAAGCAATGTCAGACAAAGTAACAAAACCCTCCAAACCCTTGTCATCAATGGCAAAGTTCTCATCTTGAACACAGATACCACTACCCAAGCACCCAAGAGAAATGGTAAACAGTAAAACAAGCAAATATGTTGGTTACCAAAAAAAACCCAGAAAAGATCAACGAAACTTAACCAAGAAAACGAACCTGCATATTAACTTTCAAGACATCAAGAGGCGTGATTGCAAGATGGGTAGTGCCAGCACTGAGCATTCCTCCAACAGTGCAGAGCCCATAATATGCAGGTGAAAATTCCTCACACAGCCTCCCTTCAACCTTTCTCATGATCTTTCCTTGTTCCCAAATTCTCACTTCCTATCTCAAATAATCACATTCCTACAAGCTCCAGGCCCAAGTGGACCAAAACCCATTTCATAGAGTCTTCGGTTGGAGCCAAATGTCAAATAGCGGCTCTGCCAACGGAGACAGAGCAAAGGCAAATAGAGAGAGAGAGAGAGAGAGAGAGAGAGAGAGAGAGGCGCAGCTTACTTGGTAGTTGCTACAAGCTAGGGCGTTGGAGAATAAAGGAGGTTCTTGGTGTTACGTGGCGGTGGAGATTTGAACAAAAAAGTTCGATGCCATGGACGATTTCTCTTGCTAGCTATACGTCCACGTTTACGGTTCCAACTATATGGCTTTGCTTTAATTAAACTCACAACTAATCAAACCCTTGCCCTTTATTGCGTGACCCATAAGTTGCTCGTGAACGAATTAGTTGGACTTTTTGGAGTTTTTAGACCAACACATTCCAAGAAATTGGGAACAATAGTCATTACAACTGTTTTGCATACCGCATATGTATATATAGCCGGTAATTGGCATTCAACACGGACACAATCTAATGAATTTTGAAAAATTCACATTCTGATGTACAAAAATGCCCTTATTTATTTTTGGATTTCCTAATAAATCTTTTACATTTGCATGTCTTTGGTTTGAAAGTTGAGGGGTTTTTATGTCTTTTTTGGAAAAGTTTTAACTTTTTCTATAAGTGAAAATTTTTTTGTGACTAAAACCTAAATTTAATTAATTTGTATTCGCATATGCTCTTCCCTCACCTCTTTCTCCTCTCTCTTCCCTCTCAACCCCCCCTTCCTTTTCCTTCTCCATTTCCTCATAGGGATTGGAGTTTTGGTTTGTGATGAGACTTTTTGCTTTTTTTGTTTTTTGTTTTTCTGTTTCTAGTTGCAGGCATAGATGGCAGCGCCCACGTCAGTGGGGTAGCATTGGTTGCTATGCTCGTTTGTAGTTGAAGCAACCACCGCGGAACACCATTATCGCCATGATTTAGTCGTTGCTTTTAGTCCATATACACATGATTTTGGCTATAGTTTAGAGTTTGGAGTTACAATTATGGAAGTTGTCGGTTTGTGTGGGCTGGGGTTTAGCTAGTGTGACACTAAGGGTTTAGTCTATATAGCGTTATGGGTCGCTTTGGTTGTTGGAAATGATATGGAGCAGTGGTCATGTTTCTTTATTTGTTTTAGTCTATTATTACTCTTTTAGGAGTTTATTTTATTTTATTTCTCAAGAACTCTTTAGGAGTTTGCTATATTTTGTATTTTAATTTTCAGCTGCGATATGGATCTGCCGTTTCTACCGTTATGCAGTGGATCTGTATTATTAGTCTGAGTACAGACGTTGCGGAATAAGGGGTTTGAGTATTTGTTGGTTTAGACGTAATTCTCTCCAGATCAAATCAACATGTTTGGTAACTAGAGATATTGTACCGATTTCAATACTTTTGTGGCTTTGTACTTGTTCAATTTCATCAATAAATACTATCGATTTTTCTATATAAAAAAGGCTATAATTGTGTCCGCATACAAAGCAAGTTCTCATTGTAGAAAACGCAATTTATATGGACATACTTTATATTCACTTCTCATTTATTTATTATGCAATTATTCCCTCAAAATTAGGTCATTTGACCGCTTCCTCATGTTACATAATTGTGTATGTAGTGAGTTGGTTTGCTACACTTTTAGGGCTCATTTGAGAGTAATTCTAGAGAGGTAAATAATCACTTTTATGGATAAGCGCATTGGGGGTGCTTCTTCTCATAATCACTTAAAATCATTTTAGTGATTTTATGGATAAGTGCGTGAGACGTGTTTCTTCTCATAAGTGATCCATAATCATTCCCAAACAAACCCTTATTTTCATTGAAAGTGTCAATTCTAATATCAAAATAACAAAAATTAATTCACTAAATGATCACAAGAAGCATTGACCCAATACTAACTAAATATCATTATCACACCGTACCACTAGACTAGACTAGACATACTTTCTTGAAAAATTTAAAGGCCAGTCCTTGTCTTATGATCACACTCCTTCGCATGCTTATCACGTGTCCACACCTCATGTATTTTCCTAGTTATTAATTTTTACGAGAAAAACGTTATATACACTTGTTGTATGTAAGAATCTTCCGTTGGTAGCAATTTCGTTAGGGTGCCGGGACATAAGATGTTAGGAAGAATTTATGTACCAAAATAGGATTTGGGTCTAGCCCAATGGGCTTTTAGATTTTAAAAATCATATAATTTAGAGAGCAGCCTGCCTCGTGTTGTCTTTAGTCTTAGACCCATATAGTTTGTTCTTCGATTGAAACAGTTAGGAGAAGATCAATATGCTGTGAGAGCCCAACTTCTCGTTTTTTGTTCTCATATTGAAGAAGGTTCTTTCTTTGATTTTTTATTTTTAATGTCATATTCATAATAGACAGGATCATGATCACTCACATGCCCAACAGGCAAAATGGTACAAAATGGGGTTATTTTTCTTTGTCCTCTTTATGCATCCTCTTTGAATAATATTTTTGGCCACATGGCATGGGCCTAGTTTACAATTTTCCTGCCGATAACGGTCATTGTTCATGTGCCCTTCTTGTTTCTGTGCTAATTTATAACAATGATTAAAAAAACAATTTTTAATTACATAAAAAGGATAGTTAACTTGAAAAGACAAAAGAAAGAAGGGATAATTTTATTAATTGGATTTTTTCTTCTAAAGTAAAAAGTGTCGGTAAGAGTTTGTTAATGATTATAAGAAGAGTCAATGGTTTATAACCTAGTGAAAAAGAGCCTTGACTTGTAGACAAGATGTTTCAAGTTCGAATTTTTATGGCATCTTGGTTGTGCGAGTGTGAGAAACCCCATTTCCTGTAGTTTAGACTATTGTATGTAAATTAAAAAAATAAAAAATCAATATCCTTTTCTTTTATGTTGATTAACAATCTCCAATGCAATTAGGTTAAATAAGTTATACCATTAGTTAGGATAAATATATTTATATTTGAAATTCCATGAAGAACTAGTAATCCCATGTAGTCTGTTAGAAGAAAATCTGTGATTTGAACCATGACCAACAAAATAAAATCATATAATTAACACTAGATGATGAAATCATAGATCAAAATAAATAATTGAAAGCCACAATTTCCCCACCACATCAATCACAGGACCCACACACAAGTGGGGCTTGCAAATTCTTAGTAAACTTGACAGACCAACCATGGAATAAACCCCACAACTTGTTGGGTCCTTCGCTCATGAATTGATGCATCAACAAAAAGGTAAATACAAAACAAAAAATAAAAAACCAGCCTAATTTTAATGGAAAAAAAAACAAATATATAAAGGGTCCCAAGACAAAGAGAAGAAAAAGTAGGGAAATATGACAAGCACAAAATAAAAAATAAAAAATAAATGAAAAAAGATACCTTTGAGCCTAACTAAAGCAAAGGACGCGGTGATCCCTGCTTATTGGAACTGTACTAGTGGTGGATTCCTAGTCCGCTAGTTGTACTCCATTACAACAAGGTCATGCCCACTGTCATTCATACGAATCCGATTCGATTTATTTCATCTTTCAAATCATTGCTTTATTGATTGGTTTTTTTTTTTTTTTTTTTATTTAAAAAAAAAAAACTATATAAGAGAGAGTTTCTTTCGCACACAGTGTCACGGTACTACGAGAGTTCAAACTGAAGACAACTAGGTTAGACCCGTTGGCTTTATTTATTATTTTTAATTCAATACAAAAGCGATTTAATCACACACAAACAGGGACTCTAATATGCTTTGGTTTAGTGCTTATATATTTAGTTTTGCCAAATCGCCACGCCAACATGGTCTTGCGTTTTTGCTTTGTTTATTTGTTCATAGTTTTTGTCCATTAGGTAATAATGATATTAATGGAAAGTTGGAATATTCAAGCGCTGAGCTGGGTTGGTGCTGTGTTGTGCTGAGCTTGCTGGCTAAAAGTTAAGGATTTCTTTTTCGGTACCAAAATTTCATTTTTAGCAAATTCTTAAGTATTTTTACTTTTCTATTGGGTTTGTTTAACCTACCTAAGGAGTCGGCCTTGGCCTGGCTACTTGGTTAAGTTTTCCCATTCTCTGAAAACCCATTTCAGACACTCTCCTGCATTGCTGCTCAAGAAAACAGAGCAACTCTGTTCATTGGGTGTGTGAAAATTGGAAAATAAGGTTGAGTTTTTTTTTTTGAAAAATTCGAAAAGGGCCAAATTACAGATTGCGAAAGATGACGGAACACGTAACAGCAGTCTGATCAGGGAGAGTGACGTGCAAGGCTAAGAGAGGAGGACAAGGGCAGGTGTCCAACAGTCACCGCTCTGTTCCCAAAAGGGCTTACCTCTGTTCCTCTTGGGTACTTCTTCTGCTTTACCACCTTTTCTCTTGGCGAATAATATCGTGTTTGTTTTTCTCAAATAATTTGCGTTTCGTTGTCTTGGAAAGTATAAAACGGAAAAAAGAGAAGAAAATATCATCAACTAGGACTCAAAGTCTAAAACTTTTGACGGCGTGATTGCATTTACAGACAGCACGCACCACTCACCCATCAAACGCCTATGTTTCAGGTAAACCTTCATCGCCTTGGTTTTTTGTTTGTTTGTTTTCTATTGGGTTGGGTTGCTTATGTGTGCGCTTCTGTTTGAGTTTTGGCTTGTTTTATAAATGGTATTTAGCTTTTGATCCAGTGGTCTTATAACACCTTAACCTCAATGACCTATGCTTCTCTCCCTCGTACTGATAGTGGATCATTTTTTTGCTAGGATTGTTGAACTCGGTGATCAAGAACGGGTTCAAATCATTGATCTTTGATCTGGGTTTTTGGTTTTTTGATTGGATTGGTTAATTACTGGTGAGACTTGCTTAAGAGGGTAGCAATCGATTTTGGGTTTTGAGTGGAAGATGAGTGGAGCTGTGCTTGTGGCTGTTGCTGCTGCTATTGGTAATTTATTGCAAGGATGGGACAACGCTACTATCGCAGGTAAATCTACTCTTTCAACTCGTACTTGGAGAGTATCAATAGCTTTATGTCTGCCTTTTTTCAACACTGAAAGTTGATTCTTTTAGATTGAGAACAACAGTCAACTTAGATGCTTTGAAGATTTGCTTCTTTAGCTTTGTTTCGATTGCTAATCAAAAGTTTACTTCATGCCTAGCCTTGGAATTTTCTTCATTGGTAGTCCAAAAGTTAAGAATATGTGATTTTTGCTACCGAATTACATTTTGAATGACCTTTTCTGTTTTTGCTGCAGCGTCTGTTTTGTACATAAAGAAGGAATTCAAATTAGAAAGTGATCCCGCTGTGGAAGGGCTGATAGTGGCCATGTCACTTATAGGGGCAACTTTGATTACAACATGCGCTGGAGCCATAGCAGACTGGCTTGGCCGCCGTCCTGTGCTTATAATCTCTTCTGTCCTATACTTCCTTAGTGGTATTGTAATGCTGTGGGCTCCCAATGTTTATATCCTTCTCTTGGCAAGGCTTTTAGATGGATTTGGAATTGGTTTGGTAGTTACCTTGGTTCCGCTTTATATATCTGAGACAGCACCACCTGAAATAAGGGGATCGTTGAATACCCTTCCCCAGTTCACTGGCTCAGGGGGAATGTTTTTGTCATATTGCATGGTTTTTGGGATGTCATTAACAAAGTCACCAAGCTGGAGGTTGATGCTTGGGATTCTTTCTATTCCTTCTCTTGTTTATTTTGCATTGACTGTATTTTTCTTGCCTGAGTCTCCACGATGGCTTGTAAGTAAGGGGCGGATGCTTGAGGCCAAGCACGTTTTACAGAGGCTGCGTGGCAGAGAAGATGTCTCTGGTTAGTCATTTTGTTCTGAATTTATCTATGAATAATTGGTCACTGCTGTGATACAGAAATTGATTTATTTTCTCTTTTATTTGCATGGAATGAAACTTTTTGCTCAAGTGGTTTGTGCTTTTTCTCTCTTTCTCACTTTAGACTGCATCATCTGGCGAGGGTAGCCATTTGTTAGTAGGAAAGTATGTATTATTGCTCATGGGTTATTTTTTGGGCTATTTGATCCTTTGGTCATACAGTTTGGCAGACAAAGTTGTAGAAATCAAGACTCTTTTCACTTATAGCCTTATATGGGCAGAAAAGCGTACTAAATACTGTCACTATTTGCTTCACTAAAATAACTGTTTTATTTACAATGTTGCATTGTTTGAATGGTATTGATCCTTCTAAGATCAACAGGTGAGATGGCTTTACTTGTTGAGGGTCTTGGAGTTGGGGGTGAAACATCTTTTGAGGAGTACATAATTGGCCCAGCCGATGACATTGCTGATGACCATGATTTATCTGCTGAAAAGGATAAAATCAAATTATATGGGCCTGAACGAGGTCAATCCTGGGTTGCCAGACCTGTGACTGATCAAAGCACTATTGGACTTGTGTCTCGGCATGCAAGCATGGTAAACCAAAGTGGGCTTGTTGATCCTCTCGTCTCTCTCTTTGGCAGTGTACATGAGAAGCTCCCTGATACAGGAAGCATGCGAAGTATGCTTTTCCCACACTTTGGCAGCATGTTCAGCGTGGGAGGGAATCAGGCTAGACAAGAAGAGTGGGATGAGGAGAGCCTCGCCAGAGAAGGAGATGATTACGCATCTGATGCAGTTGGTGGTGATTCTGATGACAATTTGCACAGTCCATTGATATCACGTCAGACAACGAGCCTTGAAAAGGACCTGGGCCCACCTCCCCATGGGAGCCTTGCTAGCATGAGAAACAACAGTCTCATTGGTGGAGAAGGAGCTGGTAGCACCGGGATTGGTGGTGGTTGGCAACTGGCATGGAAATGGTCAGAGAGAGAAGGCCAGGATGGACATAAGGAAGGAGGATTCAAAAGAATTTATTTGCACCAGGAGGGTGTCCCTGCATCTCGTCGTGGATCTATTGTTTCGGTTCCTGGTGGTGATGCACCGACAGATGGTGAGTTCATCCAGGCTGCTGCTTTGGTGAGTCAACCTGCTCTTTATTCCAAAGAGCTTATGAATCAGCATCCAGTTGGACCAGCAATGATTCACCCATCTGCAGCTGCTGCAAAAGGGCCAATTTGGAGTGATCTTTTTGAACCAGGAGTCAAGCATGCTTTGGTTGTTGGGGTTGGAATGCAGATACTTCAGCAGGTAATAATTAATATTTACTGAAAAACCTCTAGAGTTGTGCTTGTGACCAATTTTACTCGGCCGGTCATGTTTGCACCTCTTATATCTTTTGAAAAAAAATGCAGTTCTCTGGTATAAACGGGGTTCTCTACTACACTCCTCAAATTCTCGAGCAGGCAGGTGTTGGAGTGCTTCTTTCAAACATGGGCATTAGTTCAGCTTCTGCATCTCTGCTTATCAGTGGAGTAACAACCTTGTTGATGCTTCCTAGTATAGCTGTTGCCATGAGGCTCATGGATATCTCTGGCAGAAGGTAAATTATTATTGTTTTTCTGGTTATATCTTCGCATCTTGGCTGAATGGACACGTTGTTTGAATTAACATGGCCCAGACAAGTTTTGGGGCTCTTTATTTTTTACATTTATTAACTTCATATGAATATCTTGTGGATAAAATTCCCGCAGAATAAGATTTCAATCATCATTCAGAATGCTTTTAAGTCAATATTAACTTTATGTATCACAATACAGGAGTTTGCTGCTCACCACAATCCCGGTCTTGATAGCATCTCTCGTCATCCTAGTCCTTGGAAGTCTTGTGAATATGGGCAGTATTGTGAATGCATCAGTTTCGACTGTTAGTGTTGTGCTCTACTTCTGTTTCTTTGTTATGGGGTTTGGGCCAGTCCCCAACATACTCTGCGCAGAAATCTTCCCCACCCGAGTTCGAGGCCTCTGCATTGCCATATGTGCCCTCACGTTTTGGATTGGTGACATCATTGTCACCTACTCACTTCCTGTGATGCTCAAATCTGTTGGTCTTGGTGGCGTTTTTGGCATGTACGGGGTTGTGTGCGTCATAGCTTGGGTTTTTGTTTTCTTGAAAGTTCCGGAGACCAAAGGCATGCCCCTTGAAGTGATTATCGAGTTCTTCTCCGTTGGTGCAAAGCAGGCTGCGGCTGCCAAGAACAATTGACTTGGTCCTTGGTGGACTAAAATTTTTTATGGCTGTTTTATCGTCCTGGTTTTGCTTCAAATTTACTTTTTCTTTACTTGTTTTTAATTGGTACAATCGATCCCCGTAGAAAGGCTCGTGTATAATTATCTCTCATTTGTTATACCTGATATAAATAACTTCAAGAGCTTTTGTGTACAATGTGTTCGGAATGAAATTTGTGGGATTACTTCATAGCAAAGGGCTTGTTTTACTCGATCCCAATTTCGACATGAAATTTTAAGCATGTCCAGTGATGATTCTTATCTTCTTGTTCGTGTTGTGAACAGTTCTTAATCAGACTCTGGCAGGAACAATCTCAATCTCAGAGAAAGTAAATAATAAAAAATGGCATACACACGAAAAAGGCAGTTAAATTTCCTGAAAAAAAATGGGGTAAAAGAACGTTTGCTAGTTTGATCCCACATATCTCCATTTCTGTATTCAACCCACCTGAATGAGTTCAAATCCTCTGTTTTTGTATTTTATGTCCTGATGCCGACGAGTGAATCTTAAACGCACAAAGGAAATGAGGAACCAAGTACAAAGTTTTCAACTGAAGATCATGTTCAGTAGTTGACCATTTTGATGTAAGATCAGCAAATTAACAGAACCAGATACAGTTCCCACATTTTTTCTGTGGTAAAAATGAAACTTGCATAGAAATTGTTGTAGCCCTTCTTTAGAGCTCCAAACTCCAATCTATGAGTTCAAAATCAACTTCATTTTGGGCACCTCTCTTCCATAATAGCCACGGTGCCACGACAGGACGGGCATGAAGAATGGCACTTCAGCCACCTGTCAACACAGCTCACATGATATCCATGACCACAATAAGGCAACACCCTGATTACATCTCCGTCCACAAACTCCATCAAGCAGATTGCACATTCTGTGAATCTTGCATCACCTGCTGCATTATATGAGACTCTTGGAAGCGCCCGGAGATTCCTTTCGTGCAGGTCTTGGTCAGGCAGAGGGCCAGGAGGCTGAGGTGAGGAGAGCCTAGCTCTGGCCATGGGACGGCACAACCGTGATGCTAGCCATAATATTGGCCGGATGATCATGACAATGACAAAGGCTCCTAGGATGCTTAACAATGGAACAAAAATGACGATAATGGGAGTCTTGCCAATGCAAAACACAAACTGGAGAGCCATATCGTTAAGAGAATGATCAAAGTGAGGATTTAACAGAAAAATAGAGACCCCATTTATCAGAATTTGGTAAACAATGTACTAACCATCATTGACCAACCAGCACTTATAACCACCAGAGAGCTCAAATTGCTTAGCTTCACCAACTGTGAGTTCACACATCAAACATCCAATTAAAGTTTGACAACTTTAGAGCATTTCTTAAGAATCTGCAGCAAAGATTGACACAAGAGCCAACTGCATTTACAATGTGGGACAGTAAAAATTTGGTGCTCAATCAAAACACATTCATTACACATTTTCAAATTTTCTTTTGTATACAAATGCCATGGAAACAGAAACACCTCCTTGCATTGTTTACAAAACCAGAAAGACCACTAACTTCTGCTTTCAGATTTCCAGAAAGCTCTTGTTATTCACAGAAGCAACAAACACGGAAGCAAATTTCAAGGTTCAATTGATCTCAAAGGTAAAAGATCTAATACAATAGGAAATAGGGTAGAAAGTTGTATTGAAAATAACTTTCCATGTAAGAGTTGATTACAAAAACTTAAAATTCAAGCAGCAGCAGCAGCATTTTCAACTAGGAGCCATTAAAGAAGAAGACATTGGAAGTGTAGAAAAAGTTAAAAAGGCTGTGACAAAACGCATTCACTACACATTTTCAATCTTGTTGTGAATACAAAATGCCACAAGAACACAAACACTCCTTTCTTGCATTGTTTACAACACCCATCTAAAGTCTCAACCAACCCAAAAGGAAAAAAATCAAAACTTTCATCTGGGAATGGTACTAACAAGCCTGGCACCAACCCGGTCGAGCCTACTCACACTCGCCGCCGCCTTCAACTTCCCCTCCTTCAAAAACGCCGCCACCATTCTCTCCCCAATCGCTTTCCCTCTCTCCAGATCATCTGTTACCGCCACCGCGGTGGGCCCCGCCCCGCTTATCGTACACCCGAAAGCCCCAGCCTCAATCGCCGCCTTCTTCACGGCGTCCATACCGGGAATCAGCGGAGCCCGCCGTGGCTCGACGATCTTATCACTTGACAAGGCCCTTCCCAGCCCCGGCAAGTCCCCTTGAAGCACTGCCGCCACCAGCGCCCCGGCCTGGCTCGAATTCCAGACGTGGTGCGCCATCCCCACCTCCGCCGGAAGCGCCGCCCTCATCTTCTTCGTTGGAGCTTCAAACTCTGGCGTCGCCAACACAAAGAACAGCTCTTTACCGTCCGGAAAGATCAGCGGAATCAAATCCAACGGGTCGTAGCTTCGAATCAACACAAACCCTCCCATAATCGCCGGAGCGATATTATCGGCGTGGTAACCAGAGACCTTCTCCTCCGATTTCAGCCCCGCGATCACAAGCTCATCGATCCCCAATTTTCCACCGAAAATCTCGTTGACTGCAACGGCGGCGGCAGCTGCGCTCGCCGCACTGGAACCGAGCCCGGAGCCCAAAGGCAGTCCCTTTTCCAGAGTGAGAGAGAGGCCGACCGAGCGGACTCCGAGCATCTTCATCACTTCAATGGCTGCGATTCCCGCGCAGTTCCAGAGTGGGTTTTTGCTGAGCTTCTTCGAGTTGTGGTCGCCCGAGATCTCAGATATGGAGATCTCGCCCGGCGAGACCTGCGGGTCGAGGGAAAGGGAGACAAAGTCACCGAGGCCGTCGACGGCGCAGCCCAAGAAGTCAAAGCCCGGGCCGAGATTGGCCACCGTGGCCGGCGCGAAGGCCTTGACGGAGGTGTAGACGGGTTCGGGTTCGGTGGAGGTGAGGGAGGGTCTGGAGGGGAGGGAGAGGTTACATCTGAGAAGGGGTTTGGGCTTCGACGATGAAGATGATGATGGGATTGTAGTGAAGAGTTTGAACGGAGATTGGTGGCAGATCGCCATTGTTGTCGCAGAGTGAGCAGCTGTGTCAGGTGGGGTTTTAGGCTGTCGAAGTAAATGGGTGAGCTTGGAAACGACGGACTTTGAAGAATTTTATGGGCTGGGCCGGAATTTTCAATTTTTCATGTGTTTTTGTTTCCCCTGCTCTTGGAATGGGCTGGTGGTTTTCTCAAATGATGGTTCTGCAAAATTTTTATTTATTTGTACAAACGGTATTGAAGAAAGAGGAATAAAATTTAGACCTCGGTTGCATGGTAAATGCATTTTACGTTTTAACTACTTGGACTACATACTCTTTGCAATTTTTTGGAAATGGTGAACAGATTTGACAAGCATATTTGATAATCCAACCGTTTTCTATTAATAATTAACACAAAAGAGTGAGAGAACATGATATGGTATGATTAATTAACTTTTAATTAACTTATTATCATTAGAAAGGTGGCTTGATGATGTTTAACGAGTTAGTCAAGTGTCGTTGTCAGCATTGATGTGTATCTCTTGAGAGTTGTTGATTTGTATTCTCTTGGATATATTCCTTGAGTCATTTTCACAATTCTCCTTCCCATTTGATACCATCATCTCCTTGCGTTTTCTTTTTGTCTTGTTATTGTTCTTCGATTCGTCTGCCTTTTTGTCGATGAAGGACAGGAACGTGTGGAGGCGCGAAGAGAGGGAGGCTCTCCTGCTATGGCTGGAAGGCTCAGTTTGATCTTCAGCTTCGGGGGAATGCCGGCTGAACTGGCGTAGTGCCAACAGAAAGTGAATGAAGAGAGCAATAAGGCATGCAATGCCACAGATAAGGAAAAGTCCCCAGAAGCTTTGTAGTTGAAGCTGGTCTGATATGAGGTCAGAGGTCTGTGCACATGTTTTTCTTGACAACCATTTGTCATGAATTTTCTGAAGATCGCCGTTCTCCGATAGGGTGAGAATGGCGGTTGACATGTCAATGGTTAGAGGAGAGTCTCTTGGAAATGCCTGCAAAAACCCATGTAGCAGACACTCAGACATCGCACATCTATCAGTTATTTGTAGCATAAGGAATTATGTTTTGTTTCACTTGATCAGTTACTCGTAGTCTGATAACGTAACATAACATATCAGACTGTCTAACAAAAGAATGATCAGATTGAGCATGTTTTGGGAGAATGGTCAACCAAATATGTGTTTCATTGACACTAAACCGGAAAATGTTCATGTTGACAACATATAGTGAAGAAAATTTTGGAAAAGTTAATAAAAACCATGTTGAAATACTCACAAATCCCCACCCGCTTTTGGTGAACTCCTGCCCCCTAATTGAGAACATGCAGTTTTCTGAGAGGAAGAGTTCTATGTATGCTTTTTCATCAACCACAGCAGCAACAGTTCTTTTCTTAAGGGCGTCTGCATATGCTTCTGGTGAGCCAAGAGGAACTAACCTGGATCTTGGGATGTTGAGCTCCTCAACCAAATAGTTTTGAGCAAAAGACCCTATTTGGTATCCTATAGGTTCGGTGCTTGTTACCAAGGTATCGATTCCAGTAATGGGGGATTCTAGTTGTTGTACTGTGAGCATTGATGTCAGGCTAGCTGTATAACTTGAGTTGATTATTAGAACTATAAAAAGCCAGATGATCAGCACCATCCGACCTAGCGTGCTCACCGTATTTTCTCCTGAAAGTTCAAAGATGGATCTTTTAAGCACACTTTCAAGTTCTTGGTATAAGAACACAGCATGTAGTACCAAAATTGAACTTACTATGAGCAAAAAACATGGTAGAGAAGCTAAACCTGAAAAACAACAGAATGAAGGCAGATGAGTACAAGTTGTTATAAGTTTATTTGCATTCAATTTCAATAGAAGTTCAACTTTCATGAGCTGCAGCTTTCGTGCCACCGTGAATCATAGCCTACAAATTAGTAAGTATATGCAAAAGCCGGGTCAGAATGTTCAATGTACAAAGTATTTACCATAAGATTGTGACAATCTGTTTCCTAGGAGGGCCCCTGAACTCATCATTTATTCTATGTTCCAGAATCCACATGACTAATCCAATGATCAGGAAGAAAGCTGCTGTGACACCCCACATCAGTGGACTAAATGGCTTTAAGAAAGCCCAAGCTCTCGACTTTAACCTCCTAACTGGAGCCACCACAACTAGCCCTGACTCTATATATGGCTGAGTGAAATCCACAATCTTTGTCCGGTTGGTGACGATGGCAATGCCACCTACAGCAGCATCAAACTTCTACAAAACAAAGTCTTAAATCAGATAGAAGTTTTATGGGCCAACATTTTCTTTTTCTGTGAGAATATCAGTCAGTATCTTGTAATTGTTAAATTTTACTTACTCCTAATGCAATCATTTTTACAAACTCGTTGTAGCTCGGGTTCTTGAGACCATCACCAAACAGAACAAACTCATATGGAACTGCATATGGAAGCAACTTTATAGCTGCAAGGAATATATCAATGCAGTATCCTTCAACTATATCAGTACCATTTCTTCGTGATACAAAGTCTCGATAGCTAACTCGATTTGGTACTCCAATTCTTAATTGCTTTCCATTGTTTGGAAAAACCCACCCACGAGGCTTGACTGTTGTCCCTCCAGGCCATACAACAGTGTGTAAGTGTTGGTTCAAAGTAGACCGGTTTGATGATGTCTCAGGGGGCACAACAGATATCCCGGAATAGTTAGACCAGTATCCAATTCTTTGATATCCATTTTCAATTATGTTAATGAGATCATATGCAGGATTCAATGGAGATCTATCTGGATGAAATGCTATAGGACCAGTCAGGCCGGTCGTATTGGTTTGCAATATGTTGTCCAGCAACTGCTTCCCACCATGAAAAATGCTCAATGCACCAAGGTTCACAGTCCCTCCTCCCTTAGGACCACCTAGACTAGTGATGTTGGAAAAGGAAATGGTAACCCCTTGATCCAAAAGCAAATTTATAGCATGAGCAAGCATCCAGACAGTGTCATAGGCATATAGACCATAAGGGTTCAACCCAATAGAGCCATTACTCAACTTGTTCCACCTTGATATAAAAGCCCTTTTTCCTTTTGAGTCTGGTGTGTGTGGTCTAAGAGTGAGAGCACCTTGGATAGAGTTGGCAGTCTTTGAAGAAAGAGGTGAAGTTGAATCTAAAACAGTGGATAGCCAAGCAGTAGCTATCCATACATATCCACTCTCCATCATCCCAAGTTCCTGGGCGACATCAAAAACTACGAGACCTGATTTGGCGAATGTGTGTACAACAATCACTCGAGACTCCATCATTCGAATCATTACCAACTGATTTTTAACATCATCTCTAGTTGCTTTTGGTTCAGGTGGCAGTGCTGCCTTGTAACAAATCTTGTGGCGTTTTTCTGCAAGTTTATCACCTAATGCAGCAACACCATTTCGACCGCTGTCATCATCAGTGAAAATTGCAGCCACCTCTGTCCAACCGAAATAACTAACCATGTCTGCAATAGCAGCCATCTGGAACAGATCATTGGGTGCAGTTTGAACAAAGTAAGGATACTGCAGACTTGACAAGGTGGGGTCCAGCGCTGTGAATGACAATAGAGGGACATGAAGTTCATTTGCAAGATGTGAGAGTACATGAGCCATCACAGCAGTTTGTGGACCAATTATAGCTACTGTATCAGACTCCATGAACTTTAATGCTGTGATCAACAAAGAAATAAGCATTATAAATACAAAGTACTTGAGACAGCCCAATTAGTTAAAACAGCAGGCATACAGAAGATATAAAAAATAATAATAATTACCTCCAATGATGCCAAGAAATCCACTGAAGTTTGAATCATGAAAAGTTATAGATAATTTAGTTCCACCAAGAATGGTTGGATCAGAGTTCACATCATTCACAGCAGCCTCAATGGCAATCTTTGAGACTCTTCCATTGATGGTGCCTAATGTGCACATAGCTCCAACGTTCACGGCGGCAGGTCTTGAGGCCCCTTCTGTGGAGCCTGGTATGCAGATAATGAGTATTGAAACGACCCAAACTAGATTCATTGTGATACTATTCTGAGCACCTCCCCAAGTTTCTTATATTCAAAGAAAATGAATGAATGGAACCACCAAATTCAACTTCAAAGTCATCACTTTCTATGTCAAAGTGAACTACAAGAAACTTAAAACTCAAGCAGTAGCATTTTCAACTAGGAGCAAAACAGCACCACCCCATCATTCAGAAAGCATAAAGAAGGAGAAATAACAACTGGAAGTTCAGACAAACAGAACCAAACGCAATAAATTATCAAAATTATGAGCTGTGCTACTTGAAACCCAAAAGCAACAGACAGAAAATTGGGCAAACCAAAAGCACAAATCTGTCGCACTAAAGCAACATCTTGGACATATAAGGAATGCCCACGAAGCTCATCTCATGAAAAATGTGAAAACTCAGGTGGTTTCAGTGTGTCTCAAGGAATCCACACTCACCTCAGAGTTAAAGTTGGGGGTGGTGGAGGGGGACAAGGAAGAGGAACCAGAGGCAGAGCTTAGAGTTTGGGGTACACAACCACCTATTCTGAAAAGCAAGGAAGATAGATTAATGAATTGAAATAGCAAGTGACATACAAAGACAGAAAAGGAAATAGAAATTAAATATAAAGAAAAATGAACACTCACTAAAGTAAAGCTAGAGAGTCAAAACTCACAAGAAAGGAAGAGGTCCATTGGAGCTGAGGGAAAGATAGTTCCATTATTTAATTCTTGCGATGCGAATACTTCAAACTGGGGAAAGAGAGCAACTTGGGAAAATGGTTTTCCACTTGATCTTTGTGGAGTTTTATTGAGTTTGCTTGTCTTTTGTATCAGTCACTCTTCAGAACAATGGCTGAATTGTTTAAGTTTGGTATTTGTACCATTGGATATATTGTTATACCATGGCAGGGTGAAAAGAATATTATAACATGCTGTCTCTGAGTTGCTTTCATAAAAGTGGTCTGAAATTGGATTGAAGGTTTACACCTTACATGGCCTATTTACTAAAATAGGTCTATTGTTAGTGGTGCTTTTGTCAGATCAGTAGAAGCTTCCCTACTTTTGCTTAGATTTTTTGAAGTTCCCAAACAGCATCGCTACCATGAGAGAATCAATAACAATCATAGATTCACAATATGTTTGATTTCTTTGTGATCAAACATATTGATAACATAAAACTGCATCTGCAATGTTAGTCACATCTAATTTTCTTTTCTAACATAAAATCAATGGCCCAATTTTTTTTAAAAAAATTATGAATCATCTGTGCATAGATGTTTATTCAATCAATTTAGTGAACAACCAATGTTTTCAAGGGTGTTTCAATTGTATGTTTGCAAATTCTTTCCTGATGTGCCAACTGACACTTTCATGGTTTGAAATTTGAATTATACAAACCAAAATGGTCAATTTCTAAAAGGAAGTTTCTTATGGCACCTTAGCATAAATTCTGCTTGATTCACAGAAGGATGCTTAATGGTAATCTTGATATTTAGCTAGTGTTATGTTAAGACAAACCAGCCAAGAAATGACTGAATGAATCATGGGCCTCAATAAATCACCACAATAACGTTTTGAAAGTGGAAGAGAATGAGTCAATGAGCTTCAAGCTATTCATGCTAACAAAATATAAGCCTTCCAGATGCACTGAAGCTGAAGACTTGAATTTTTATATATATTCAACTCATTTACATTTCACATGAATGCAGACCTTTACATATCCAATTCAGAAATCATTTTTTTAAAAAATTTTTAAAGCCTGATGATATCTGCTGTTAACAAGCCTACCTCAGTGAAAAATCCTCTCCCCAGTTGAGAAGAGTAAAAACCCAAGTGAGCTGAAAATGCAAAGCACCCCTGGTATCATGAACACTGATCTCCAGCTTTCCGGATTCGAAAGATCCGAATGAACAAACTTAGCAGCTTCAAGAAGCTTCCCAGTGAGATCAACCCCAATTATGCCAGCCAATGTACCAGCCGTATTAGACACTCCCATCACAATTCCTGCATACTTGGGAGCAATATCCATGTGATTTACTGCAAACCCAGCTCTCCCTAATGCCAAGAAACCAAGGGCCACAGAAGAACAAATCACAGCCGCAAGGGAAGTTCTGAAAATGGGCAGTGCCATCAATGCTAAGAAGCATGGATACGCCAATTTAGTGGCGTATCCCGTATCGGATACTCGTTTGGATACGATACGCTTCGGATACGGTCCGATACGCATTGGATACGTATCGCAGTCAACGGATACGTCAGTTGACTAACGGATACGAGTATCCGACATTCCAGACACGAGTATCTGACTTTTCGGATACGAACCTCCGGGCGAAGTTTGCCGTTGAGGAGCCCCTGGGTGCTGCGTGTGAAGAGGGAGGGAGGGGGAAGAAGAAGAAGAAGATGTCAGACTGGAGGGAGGTAGAGAGGGAGGGAGAGAGAGAGAGAAGAAGAAGATGTCAGACTGCAGGGGGAGAGAGACAGAGAGACAGAGAGGGAGAGAAGAAGAAGATGTCAGACTGATCTCAAGTGACGACGTCGTTTGCTAAAACAGGATTTGTAATATATATGTATATATATATTTTTTCATAGATCTGTTTATGGGTTTGGGTCTTAAACAAATGGGCTTTGGGTAATGATATATTTGGGTGAAAAAAGCTATAGATGCCTAAAAATATAAAGAATCAGAAAAGAAAGCCCAAAATGCTACACTATATTTATAATTTATAATTTATAATCTATTTAAAATATATTTTAGGTTATATATATTTATTAATATATATTTATAATAGCCGTATCCACGACATATCGTATCCTAATTTTTGAAAATTTGCCGTATCCCCGTGTCGTGTCGTGTCGTATCACCGTATCCGTATCCGTGAAGAGCCTCTTTGTGATCAAGTGATCAGCAATCACTCCACCAATGTTTGAGAATATGAACATGTTAAGATAAGGCACCATCTTGTAACTCCCCATGTCCTGAAGACTAAGCTGGAGGCCTTGTTCAAAGTATGTTGGGAGCCAATTCATCATCACATACAAAGCATAATGGAAAGTGAAATTATTCACTACAATAGCCCAAATTGGTAAGCTCCCAAAAATAATCTTCCATGGGATACTTTCTGTTCTATTACAATTTCGTTCGTTCCGTTCCTCCACTTTGATCTTTTCATGACCTCCTTTGATTAGCAACAATACTTCTCCAAACCCAGTAACTGTTGTAGCTTTTGGAAGCTCAGATTGAGGTGGGTTGCTAGCATAGTTTAACCAAACCACAGACCATATAGTACCTAAAGTTGCTTCAGCCAAAAATACAAATTGGGGGCTTCTCAACTTCACAAGGCTTGGAACCACAAGCATTCCTGCAGCTGCACCAAGGTACATTCCAGAAGTTGTAAGAGAAACAGATCTAGACCTCTCATGTGGAGGCACCCATTGAGCAAGAACAGAGTGGATTGAAGGGAACATGAAGCCTTGTGCCACACCAACAAGCAACCGAGCCAAAACCATCATCGTGACGCGATTCGGGTCTAACGGGACAAAGGCATAAGTTAGAGACCACGTCACAAATGAGAGGAGAAGAACACACCTTCCTCCTATTCTCTGAGCTGCCCAGCCTCCAGGGACTTGTGAACAGGCATAGCCATAATAGAATGTAGACAGTATAGTGCCTTTGCTTGATTGGGTCACACCAGCAGCATCAGCTGCTGCTGTGTAAGCAATTGAGAATCCCACTCTTTCTACATAGCAAATGAATGTGCTGATGAAAGTTAGAATGACAATCAAATAACGCTTTGGAAATCTTGTCCACATAATTCACTGGTATTCTGAGCAAATGGCACACATAAAATTTTTCCCTTATTAAGAAGTGCTTTTAGAAGAAGAATATAGCAGCAAGCTCATGCCTCTGGAAATCTGTGTATATGGATGGTCAGTTCATGTCAACATGCATGAAAAGACAACTACAAGTTGTAAATAAGAATCAAAACCCATGTTTTACTTGCTGAAAAGAAGCTGAAAATGCATGGAGCCTTAACTATATTATGGGCACAATTGGTGAAATTTGAGTGACATGACATAGCTTATTATGGGCATAATTTTAAATTTTTTTTTTTAAAAAAATAAGACCTCAGAGTGGTATATGAAGATAGGGAGATTTATTAGTGACTCATCTTCAAGATTTGTGTTTATTATTGGGTCCATTACCTGTCTAAATCTCCATCATTAGAAACAAAAACATGTCATGAAAATGGCTTCTAATTTAATGTCATTGATGTGAATATCAATTGTGAAAGCTCACCTAAAAAAAACAAAATTATTACAGAAATTATGGTATCTCATATATACAAAAAAATAAAAATAAAAATAAAAAAGCTCTTTGGTCTGATACTCATTTTCCTAACATTGAAATATTTTGCAAACCTCAAATTTCTGTTGTCATAAATTTTGTTTTGGGTGGATTTTAGTTGTTACAAGTTCCCAAGAATGTATTTTGGGAGACAGTGATGGTGATGTTGGGTGAAGGCGAATGTAGTTTGAAGGACAATAATTTATTATTATTATTTTTTTAAATGGGGCCTTTTGTAACGTTATTATTCTTTGGTTGAATCAGTACATATCACTGGGCCTGCCATCCATCAAACACATAAAGCCATCTCCAATAGTAGATTTAGCCCTTTCACCCTGAAACCCATCTTCAATAAGTAGACTAAATGCATCATGCAAGCGAGCCGAACCCAACACTTGTGTTTTGAGATCATGATCTCACATGGCCATGAATCATGAACACCTTCTCGAAAGGAGTTATTTGGTGTGTGGGTGTACGTTAGTGTTGTTTGCTTGTTTGTGTTGGCACTGACATCTTTGCAACGTGAATTCGTAATTGATTTGAACTCCTGATTGTTTTAGACATATTGGTTGCCTATTGAATTTTGAGCAAATTAGATATAGCTCTATTTCTATTTCATCACCATGGAGTTGAAACATAGCTTAAAGCTATGAACTATAACTTTTATAGTCATTTATTTATTCCCTTGATCTCAGTAACAAGCATATGTTCTTTGTATATGTTGTATCTTTAGAAACGGTGATTGTTAGAAGTTTATAGGTTTCGTATCAATTGTCGATGTACAAATATATCTCAGATAGTCTCATGTCTAAAATTTGATTTTACTTCAATTTCATAGTTTGACTATTAATTTTTTCATTAAACGATAACATGGTATTCATAGATTTCACATGTTTTTACACGAAGTTTTTTTTGTTCGTCTCAGTCTCATACAAGAACGGATCTATGCACATGCTAACCTAGATTATAGCCCATATATCTTGATTTTTTATAGCCCAAAGTTATTATTCGCCCATCAACGCCTATGCACTCAAAGTTCAAACCACTTCGATATTATTTGTGCAATTAATACCAATGGCAATTTTTAGAAAATTAATATCAACATCAATTGCCACTGGCGTCCTACCTACCATGGTTCTAGTGAGTGAGTAGGAGATTGGTCCGAACCCAAGGTCTGGGGTTCGAACTCCCCCAACAGGCACATTGTAAATATTAGGTTATTCCCCCTCCCCAATTATTGATGTACCTCCCAAAAAAGAAAAAAATATATATTTACCAACATCAGTTTTCTTTTCCTAAAGTTTTTGTGCTATTCAATTTTCCCAATAAAATCCACCTATTTCTTCAAAATTATCACACCACCAAAATCATTTACCACTCTTTAATTTTGCTTAATCTTTTACTCACAAATTATTTATTAATTGCTGGTATTTTTTTTTATTAATCTCTCAACATCATTATAAATATATTATTTATTAGCATATGTGTGAGAAACTTTCTTCTCTTTAGACTATCACTTGTATTAAAAAAAAAATTTAATTACTTTTTTCTTTTAGTTTAATGTTGTTTTTATTTAAGGTTGTACTAGATGCATTTTGAGGGGCTCATTATGTCCCATTATGTATTTTTTGTTATCAATGAAATTCAGGCGTCATCGTATAGTAATCTATCATTTTAGTAGGTTTGTACATAAGTTATTTTGAGATCATGAGTCCATCCATGGTCTCATACCTTAACTCTAATTTTACTTCAGACCCCTAAAAAAAAACAAAAAATCTTTTGTTTTACTACAATTTTCATACCTCCGTTAGTTTAACTGTCAAGTTTTCCGTTAAACGATGACGTGACATTCATAGTTGTATTAAACTAAAGGGCAATTTTGTGATTTCAATTTCGTCTTCCTCCTCACCTCCCTTTCCCTTTGTCTGCATTTCCATGTTAAACCTCTCATCACAATCAGATCCAAACCTCATCATTCCATTTTCAGAACGCTCACTTATCCGACTCATAAGATGTAGGTTTTTTTTATATAAATTTATTATTATTTTTAAATAAAAAAAGGTAAAATGTATGTGATTTTGAGATTCAATTTTCCCTTAGAGGTATGATAGTTTAATTGCTTATACTTGCTTCTTGGCATGAACCATTTGATGCTGTATGGAGCCTATATGGACATGGAAATAGTCTTCTACATGTGAAGTTTACTGATATATATATTGGTGTGCCCGCAAAATAGAACAAAAAGCAATGAATGAGGTATTTCTAAAATTTCTGGATAGTTATATAAAATAGTGCAAGAACACTCTAATGTTCATGTTACTTCATTATTTTGTACACTGCTAATTGCATATATACTTTTCCACAGTTTAGGAGTAATTGATCGAGATAGGAAGCTTTTTCTGGTTTCTTTGTATGTGGCCTGAATGTATTTGCTACATATTTCACACCATGCACTGTAAGCCTAATAGCATTTTGATTAAACTCAGTTTGCAGTTTAATCTGCTTAGTTCATTTAATGCTTTACTTGTTTATTTATTTTTTAAAATGGTTTTGTTCTCTCTCTCTCTCTCTTTTTTAATATATAATTATCATGTTGTAATTTTCGGTTATGTGAAATATATATGATGCCATTGTCTGTTATTGTGAATTGTTCGTATATGTTTGATGGTGCTAGGAGGCTTTAAAAAAAATAATTTGAAGCATATATTGCCTAGACCTAGACCTAGACCTAGACCTAGACCTCTCATGTGTAGGCACCCATTGAGCAAGAACAGAGTGGATTGGAGGGAACATGAAGCCTTGTGCCACACCAACAAGCAACCGAGCCAAAACCATCATCGTGACGCAATCCGGGTCTAACGGGACAAAGGCATAAGTTAAAGACCATGTCACAAATGAGAGGAGGAGAACACACCTCCCTCCTATTCTCTGAGCTGCCCAGCCTCCAGGTACTTGTGAACAGGCATAGCCATAATATAATGTAGAGGGTATATATAGTGCCCTTGCTTGATTGGATTCACTGATGGATCAAACGTCTCTATAACTTATGTGACGGAGAAAGCCAACAGGAAAAGGGGAAGCGTGTTGGATTCAAAAATCTGACGACGACCATATTGCATTGCATGCGCTCTCTGCATTCAACAGTTGGCAGATTTGCAGAAGCAAAGAAGATCTTCGATCGATGATGCTAAGCTAACTCATTATAAGGGCCTTGAAAGACCCACCAGCGCACCACCCGTGTTAGAGATTTGATTCTTCTGCAGTAAATGCAGAAAAATAAAGTCCCACCGCTGCCAGGAAAGTTTTTCTCCCCACCGCCCCACTCTCTCTCTTTGCTTCCCCATTATTACCCTCCATTTCCTATTTCGGAATACAATCCAAAACTCACCATTCCACTTCAGCTCATTACTTTTTTCAAAGATTCATGTTATGGACCATGGACCACAATGCAGAGCCAACCCAACACAGAAGAGATAACGTGCTGGGAAGGGCAAACAGGTAATCAACATTTGTCTGATATTTTTCGACATAGCTGAATTCGATCTCACGTGGCTATGTTGTGTCTGCTTTGTCTGATATTCTTAAAAGAACTTGCTGGCATGCTGGGAAGAGAAAAGACATTGAATCCAAAACAAAAACTCTCCCCTTTTCACCTTACCCCACCCACCTCATCAAATCCAACATAAATGAGACTTTTCACCAAATAGGGTTGTACTCACTCTAAATTAAGTTCCCAATGACGTCTATTAACATGAAGACTGTGGTCATGATTAAAGTAGCTGAATTCTGAATCACAGCTTTATGTGTTAATTGATCGCTTTTTCTGGTTTCTTTATATGGGGCTTGAATATATTTGATATATATATTTCACACCATGCATTGTAAGGCTAATAGCATTTTTGGTTAAACTCAGTCAGGCTCGGACCCAAAATTCAAAAATGACTAGGACTAATTTTTAGGCTAATTCTTCAAATCCAAAAATATATTTTAAAATTTTGACAATTTTAATGATAATTCCCAAACTATAGACAATATATTAAACACTCCCATGATTTACTTCTACAAAAAACAACATACTTTCCCAATTATACATTAAAAAAATTAGAAATAGATTACAAGAAAGAAGAAAAAAAAGTACAAGAACAGGACGGAGGTTGAGGAGAGAAAGGAAAACAAAAAAGAAAACTACGAGTACAAGAAGAAGAAAAAGAAGAGAAGGAAAACAAAAATAAAATAAATAAAAGAAAAAGGATGAGACCGGGGAGATAATCTTCATTGTCTTTTACTTTTTATTTTGTCTTGGAGTGATAAGGTCGGATTGGCTAATAAATGGGCTAGGATTTTTTTTTCCCTTCTAAGGGCTGAACTACCTAGCTACTGAGTCACTTGTCCACGTTGCTTGCAACTCACTATAAAGTCTCACCATCTCATCCTCTTCTTCTCACCTTTAACTCTCAACTTCTCACTAACCCACCTCCGCAACTCACCTTCTCGGCTTCTCATCCTCTTCTTCTTACTTCCACACAACTTTCACCTAAGAAGTTAATTCAAGGAGGTGCTCCAATAGATTCCAAACTGATGAGGTTGAGGAATACTCATATTCTTTGGAAGAAGTCACAGATGCCAAAAAACAACTTGTGCTCCAAGGAATACCCTTAGAGCACAAGCTGTTTTTTGGCATCTGTGATATTTTTCCAAGGAATATAAGTATTCCTCAACCTCATCAGTTATTTGCTGAAATTGCAAAGAAAAAAGCTGATATTGTGCCAGTTCAGTATAGGAGGTAACAGAAAAATCTGGTTTTATTTATTTATTTTTTCCCTTTGTTCTGTTTTTGACATCTCGCACTAACCAAAGATCCCTCTTGGATTTTTTTTTCCTGTGCAGGGTGAAGTGTGAGAGAAGTTGGGGGCTGAGATTCATGATGAGTGGCTATATTTGATGGAAGATGTAATTATTTAAAATTAAAGTTATGCCACTGCTTCGTTGTATTCTGACTTTAATGGCTATATTTGATTTATGTGTTATTTGTCTTTGGAGAAACAGAAGATACACATGTGAAAATGAAGATAATTCGGAAAGAAAAGGAAAATAAGCAGTAAAATAAAGAAAATATCAGAGAGGCTGAGAAAATCTTAGAGAAAACATTCAGAGAGAAGTTGTATTTTTAATTGAAGTTTGTGTTTATACACTGAATTACATTGCTAACTCATCCTTATATGGTGAAGCTAGAGTCAGTTACATAATGCAAACACTTTACAGACTGGTAATCAGCCTACATAAGTCCCATTTTTTGTTAGAGAAGTTAGTAAGACAAGTTTGTGACATCTGGCACTTCTGCCCACCCTAGCCACGGTCTTCGATACGCTTGAAGGATTTCCAGATTGTGTTTGGGTGTTGTGCAGCTTCCTTTGATTTTGTTTGTTTGGTCACTTGTGCTGGGAAGGGCAAAAAGGCAATGAACATTTGTCTGATATTTTTCAAAGTGAATTGAGGTGGTTCATGATGCAGACTAGACAGTAGAAACAGATTAAATTTGTTTGATACAAAAGTGCAGATACTTGCTTTTTGGCATGAACCATTTGATGTTGTATGGAGCCTATGGACATGGAAATAGTCTTCTACATGTGAAGTTTACTAAAATTAAAGGAGCCTATGTCAAAAGACATGAAAATGGCTTCTAATTTAATTTTTTGGCTTATTGATATGAATATGAATTGTGAAAGCTCACCTCTTTAATATTTTTATTTATTCTTTGAATGGAAACATTATAATCAACATCCTATGAAACAAAATAATTAGAGAAATTATGTATATATACAAAAGTTTTAAAAAAGAAAAAAGAAAAAAGAAAGCTCTTTGTTCTTATACTAATTTTCCTAAAATTGAAAGATGTCCCAAATTTGATTCTTTTGCAAACCTCAAATTTCAGTTGTTATAAATGTTGTTTTGGGCGGCTGTTGTTTTTAAATTAATCCTATCCTATTCAAAAATAGTTTTCTTTTCTAAAATCCTATCTGAAATGTTTTTTTTTCTTTCTAAAATAGTACTTTAATTAAATTATTAAATATATTTAAAGAATATATTAAAAATTAATAAAATATTAAGGGATAGCTTTGAAATCTAAAGTCTAATTCACTTGGATAGAATTGTTTTTGCTGTTACTGAATAATAGAGCATTACGAATTATGAGTATGAGGGTTGGAACTCTAGGCATGATTAACGTAGCTGAATTATGAAACACAACTTTATGTGTTATGATATCATGATCTCACATGGCTATGAATCATGATCTCACATGGCTATGAATCATGATCAGCTTGTCGAAGGGGGAGTCATTTGGTGTGCGTTAGTGTTGTTTACTTGTTTGTGTTGGCACTGATATCTTTGCAATGTGAATTGACGGTAATTGATTTGAACACCTGTTTGTCTCAGACACATCGGTTGCTTAGACTAGACTCTGACCCTTTTTCAATGTGAATTGAGGTGGTCCATCTTAACATCATCACGCATGCAGTCTCTGTATTGAAAACTGATATGAATTTGGTAGAGCAAATATATAGAATCCAAAACCAAAACTCTCACCTTTTCACTTTACTCCTCCCCTCCCCCCACCTCATCAAATCCAACATAAAGGAGATTTTTCACCAACTAGGGTTGCACTCACCATAAATTGGGATCCCAATGATCTCTATTAACATGAAGACTGTGGTCTAGTGAGCCTACCCCATGTCGACAACGACAATAGCACATTCCCATGCCATAAAGTCCAATAATATAAAGCAGATCTCATGCCACAGACTCCAATAATATAAAGCCACTGATTTCAGTAATGCGTTGCCAAACACAGCAGCTAGGGAGTAAAGAAAAAGAGCTTGGAAGATTGACCGTACAAATGTAGGCATCGGTGTAGTGGCTTTTAGGCATCACTCATAATAGTCAAGACTCAAGAGATGGTAGATCACACATCCAAATTAGCGTCTCAGTACTAATGACTCTGAGGGACTGAAATTACTGTTGTTTTGCCATCCTTTAAATTATGTAGATACAAAAGGTATTAGCTTATATTGTGCTCAATAAAGCAAGCACCCAAGAAATCCACAAAAGCTAACACATAAGATGACACATATATGCCTGCAAAATAAAATCAATATGTCCAAAATCTTAACTCCCAGCTTCGACGGTAGCCAAAAAGTCCAAATTATCAGTCACATTGTAACACCCCGACTCCAAATTTATTCCTATTTTAATTAAATTAAGAGAATTATTAATTTACTCTTGGGTTAAGGGTAATTTTGGTCATTTTCTTATCCAGAAGGATTTCGGGACCACGAGTGGTTTGGTTGCGTAGGTGGTACTGAGACGAAAACGTGCACAGGCGGTAGGCTTGAATCGGAGTTGTAACGAAGTTTTGGCGAGCAAAATAAGCTGGGTGGCGGAACCGTAATTAATTTCGAAGTGAGTTTGGGGTAAAATCAGATTTTTCACATTTACCCCTCACTTTTTCTCTCTCTCTCTCTCTCCCGTGTCTCCTCCCTCTGCGTGCGATAGTTCTCTCCCGTCACTGTGCAATCCGAACAGAAAAACCCACACCGCCACCACTTCCGGTCACCTCAGCCCTCGAGACCAGTCCCGTTGGACTCGTCGTGAAGTCCCGATTAAGACCCACCCAATTTCCTTGCCGGAAAGCCGGAGGATCGTCGACGGTATCGACTGGTTCAAACCGGAAGTTTCCGATCGTTGCGCCGCCGCCTCCGCCGTCTGTTTCAGGTAAAGTTGGTGAGTTTTCTTCTCCTTTTTACGTATTCTAGCTGACTGTTGTTTAGGTTTTGATCGATTTTGAGGTTTGGAACCGAATTGGAAACCTAGGTTTTGGCCAGTTTTCAATTGGAAATTCCGGCCAGTTCCCGTGCGAATTGGACCTCGTGGTAGTTGAATAAAGTGATCCTGACCTTGAGAAGAAGCTAGGGTAGGAAGGGTGAGCGTTGGTGTGGAGATTTTCCCGTCGCCGGAAATTTCTCTACACACCCACGCGCTGCCGGCGCGTGTGGCGGCGCATGGGCAAGGCTGTTGAAGTTGCTTTTTATCCTGACGAGATCATTAGGTTGTCACGACTGCATAGGATTTTACGGATCTCAATTTGGATGTCGTTTGACTATCAAACGGATTTCGCATATTGAGCGTTATTCGGGTTCGATAAGTTCTAACCGTTGGATCGTTTCCAAACTGAAGTAAGTTGATTTAGGTACTCCTAGAATCCTATAGGAATTCGCGGATCGTGAATCGGAGCCTCGGATGTTCCGATTCAATAATTCAAAGTTTGTGGGATTAGCGATAACCGTAGGATGGGAAGCGATTCCCAAACCTGTAACCGGACCTTAGGATATCCTATTGGACGTACACGCACCGGGATCTTGGGGATTTAAGTATTCTCTTTGGTGAAATTCCCATTTCGAAGTGTATTATATTAATCAAGGGTTCGTATCTCGAAATAGGTACTTCGGTCGATCGTTTGCAGCAGGCAGGACCCTCTCGGGGCCGGGCAGCGTGGGATTACCTGTGAGTGGACTTTGTTTTCAAGCATTTGCATGGTTTTATTGATAAAAGATTTGTGCATATGTTTTAAATGGAAATGTGATTTATTAAGTATTTGGTTGATGACTTTGGATATTCATATACCTATTGGCAATATATTTTGAGTATGGCTATGTTTGAGTATTATGGATATGTTTATATGGATTTTGGGATATCTGTCTATATTGCCTATGTATAGAGTATGAGGAGTTGATGTTGTGAGATTGTGCTATGTATGGAGTATGAGGAGTTGTTGTTATGAGATTGTGGAAAGATATGAGTTTGAGGGATGGTTGTGAGATGTATGAGTATGTTAGGTGAGTACCATTCCCTGGTTACTAGGCTTCCCACACATGGCGTTGGCAGTGCCGGTGTGGTGGGAAGGCCATGAGATTGCTGGTCCCATACATGGCGTTGGCAGTGCCGGTGTATGGGAAGAGTATGTATATTGCTTAGTATCATCACACATGGCGTTGGCAGTGCCGGTGTGGTGATGATACTGTCTGCGCGCGTAGGACTTGATATGAGATTTGTGAGCTACACGTGGCGTTGGCAGTGCCGGCGTGTGAGCTATGGAGTTCCGTCCCCCCGGTTGGACTACTCATCCCTGGACGCGGGTTCATGTTCGAAAATCCTGCGTACCAGCCAACAATCCCCCGGTTGGATTGTCTTCCCCGGTACATTAGTATGGAGAGAAGTATACGTTATATTATAGATATATATATACTTATATAGGTATACATATGTATGGGTTGATGAGAGTTGCATACTTTTGGGAATGGAGTTGTGGTTTGAGATTTTTTAGAGTTATTGGACTTTGAGATTTTGTGTTTGAGTATTTGATTTATGGATGTGGAAACTGCATGCTTGAGCATTATTTTTACACGGTGGGGTTACTATGTTGTTTTAAATGCAAACTTTATTTTGTCCACTCACATATTTCCGTTTTGCGCCCCCCAGGCAGTAGTGGCTTTTGGAAGCGCTCAAGCAAGTTGCGAGCTCCAAACATTCCATCCGTAGATAGGATTCGTGTAAATTCCTTCTACTCTGCTGTTGTTGTAATCAAATTCTGTTAGATGCTCTGTTATCGCCCATGTTAGGTTGTTACTTGAGGCCAGAGGCCACTTTACTTTGAATTGATGTATGTTGAAAGCATGCTGGCAGTTGGGATTTATATTATGTAAATTATGCAGGTTGAATGTTGTTGGGTTTGAGCATCTTACAGGGGAGACTCTGCCAAAATTTTGGTAGGATGTCTTGGGTTTTTAGTAAGTGGGCCCGGCATCGGTGTGATGTCGGCACCAAAACAGGGTCCGCCCCGATTTCGGGGGAAATTCCGGGGCGGGTCCTGTCACTGCATGTCGTAAAAAATCCCAATGTGGAGCGATATCCACACAGGAAAATTTTGAACTTGCTCTGGCCATGAAATGGGACAGTTTTCTTTATTCGTCAATATATCAATCTTTTGTGTTGGCTGGTTGAATTGTGCATGGCAATAGATAGGGATATTGTTGTTCATATATGTATATTTATCTTGTTTGATATTTTTCAACGTGAGTTGGAGATATTCTAAACTAGACAGTAAAAACAAATTAAATTTAACTTGCTTTTTGGCATAGCTGTCCATGCTGCAACTCACTATAAAATCTCACCTTCTCATCCTCTTTTTCTCACCTCCAACTCTCAACTTCTCACTAACCCATACCTCTGCTAACTCACCCTCTTGGCTTCTCACATCCTCTTTTTCTCACCTCCAGCTCTCACTTCTCCCTCAGTATGGAGCCAAACATTCCTAATCTTCCCTACATATTGACCACCCCTTTCTCAGAGCCTGTGCCGTTAGTTAAAAGAGATGCTTCTATAGATCCTAGACTGAATAGGCTGAGGAATACTTATATTCCTTGGCAAAACGTCACACATGCCAAAAACCACATTGTGCTCCAAAGACAAAAATGCCATGATCCTCCCAAACCCGTAGAGATGAAAAAATCAAAGGGTAAGGGTGGTAAGGGTTCCTCCTCACGTAATCCAGAGCCCGATCCTCTTGTAGAAGCCAACCAAGCCTTCATCCAATCTCAGAACAATTTTGCAGCAGCCATTAGGTCTTTTATACCAGGACCTAACTGTCCCCTCATGGTATGGGTGAGGGGTGATGTTGACAATGTGCTACTGCTTTGGACAATGTATTAGGATCGGCGCTTACACGTTTTGGCTGAGCTGACCGATGAGTTCGAATGGACAAACCAAACGGTATGGGCCCCCCAGAAGCTCTTGGCGTACGCAAAGGAACATTTGGCGCCATGTGGGTTCAAGGTGGAAGACTTGAAAGATAAGCAAATCACGGGGTTCAGCAGCAAAAAAAGATAGTGAGGTAGTGACTTCGTAAATTTGTTTTAGTTCTCTATCTGGATATCAACTGAAAAAATATTGTTTTTTGTTTTTGCAGGGTGCATGCAGGGCCGAGGTGGTGTGGTGGAAGAAAATTATGTCTGCTTTATTTTTAATTAAGTTAATAATGATTTAAAGACAATTTGGTTTGTAATATGTTGTTGTTTGTTTTAATTATTAAGTTATGATTTGAGATATACTAATTTGTATTATTAATTAGTTATGTGTGGAATGGAAGACTGCTACTGTATTATTAATTAATTTGTATTATTAATTAGTTATGTGAGGATGGTTTTATTATTACTTGTACTCTGTTTTTGTTTGTTTATGTTGCAGAAGGTGCTTGTGGTTATTACTGGTACTCTTTTTTTGTTTGTTTATGTCGAGCTTCAGCAAGCGCCTGAACTCAGAATCGAACGCTTGGTCAAGAAAGCTCTGATTCTTCTTGGCTCTCTTCAAGGCCTGTACAGTATGTATGGCTTCGATGCTGAGGTGTCTCCCTTTCTGCAATGGTCTCAGGTTATTGCTTCTGTCTCTCATCGTCACTATCACCTTCCATCTTCTGGATTGCTTTCGCCAATAATTCATAGGGGGTGTATACCTTTGTGTTAGTCCATTGGAATTCATCAGTCAGCTCGGTCAAAATGTGTAAACGCTGATCCTCATACATTGACCACAACAGCACCGAGTGGTCAACATCACCCATGTTCCATACCATGAGGGGAGGGTTAGGTCATGGTATAAAGGACCTTATGGCTGCTTTAAAATTGGTCTGAGTTTGGACGAAGACTTCGGTGGCTTCTAGAAGAGGATCGGGCTCTGGATTACTTGATGAGGAACACTTACCCTTTGATTTTTTCTTCTCTACGAGTTTGACAACATCATGCCATTTTTGCCTTTGAAGCACAAGCTTTTTTTTGTCATCTGTGACTTCTTTCCAACGAATATAAGTATTCCTCAACCTCATCCGGTTGGAATCTATTGGAGCACTTCCTTGAAATCAATATGTACTCAAAGTTTGGAATGTTATGTTCCATTGAGGGAGAAGTGAAGAAGAGATGAGAAGTGAGAGTTGTGTGGAGGTAAGAAGAAGAGGATGAGAAGCCGAGAGGGTGAGTTGCAGAGGTGGGTTAGTGAGAAGTTGAGAGTTGGAGGTGAGAAGAAGAGGATGAGAAGGTGAGACTTATATAGAGGGTGAGTTGCAACTTGAGCCACTTGTCTACGCTGCAACTCACCCTCTATATAAGTCTCACCTTCTCATACTCTAACTCTCAATTTCTCACTAACCCACCTCTACAACTCACCCTCTCGGCTTCTCATCCTCTTCTTCTTACCTCCACACAACTCTCACTTCTCATCTCTTCTTCATTTCTCCCTCAATGGGACCCAACATTCCAAACCTTGAGTACATATTGAACACCATTTTCTTAGAGCCTAATAAGTTAATTCAAGGAGGTGCTCTAATAGATTCCAAACTGATTAGGTTGAGGAATACTTATATTCATTGGAAAGAAGTCACAGATGACAAAAAACAACTTGTGCTTCAAAGACAAAAATGACATGCTGTTGTCAAACCCTTAGAGAAGAAAAAATCAAAGGGTAAGGGTTCCTCATCAAGTAATCTAGAGCTCGATCCTCTTCTAGAAACCACCGAAGCATTCGCCCAAACTCATTCCAATTTTAAAGCAGCCATAATGTCCTTTATACCAGGACCAAACCATCCCCTCATGATAAGGTACATGGGTGATGTTGACCACTTGGTGCTGCTGTGGTCAATGTATGAGGATCAACGTTTATACATTTTGACCGAGCTGACTGATGAGTTCCAATGGACTAACACAAAGGTCTTTTCTTTCGCCAATAATTCATGGGGGGTCTATACCTTTGTGTTAGTCCTTTGGAATTCATCAGTCAGCTCGACCAAAATGTGTAAACGCTGATCCTCATACATTGACCACAGCAGCACCAAGTGGTCAACATCACCCATGTTCCATACCATGAGGGGAGGGTTAGGTCCTGGTATAAAGGACATTATGGCCGCTTTAAAATTGGAATGAGTTTGGGCGAATGCTTCGGTGGTTTCTAGAAGAGGATCGGGCTCTGGATTACTTGATGAGGAACCCTTACCCTTTGATTTTTTCTTCTCTACGGGTTTGACAACAACATGTCATTTTTGTCTTTGAAGCACAAGTTGTTTTTTGTCATCTGTGACTTCATTCCAATGAATATAAGTATTCCTCAACCTTATCAGTTTGGAATCTATTAGAGCACCTCCTTGAATTAACTTTATAGGCTCTAAGAAAATGGTGTTCAATATGTACTCAAGGTTTGGAATGTTGGGTCTCATTGAGGGAGAAATGAAGAAGAGATGAGAAGTGAGAGTTGTGTGGAGGTAAGAAGAAGAGGATGAGAAGCCGAGAGGGTGAGTTGCAGAGGTGGGTTAGTGAGAAGTTGAGAGTTAGAGGATGAGAATGTGAGACTTATATAGAGGGTGAGTTGCAGCGTAGACAAGTGGCTCAAGTTGCAACTCACCCTCTATATAAGTCTCACCTTCTCATCCTCTTCTTCTCACCTCCAACTCTCAACTTCTCACTAACCCACCTCTGCAACTCACCCTCTCGGCTTCTCATCCTCTTCTTCTTACCTCCACACAACTCTCACTTCTCATCTCTTCTTCACTTCTCCCTCAATGGGACATAACATTCCAAACTTTGAGTACATATTGATTTTCAAGGAAGTGCTCCAATAGATTCCAACCGGATGAGGTTGAGGAATACTTATATTCGTTAGAAAGAAGTCACAGATGACAAAAAAAAGCTTGTGCTTCGAAGGCAAAAATGGCATGATGTTGTCAAACTCGTAGAGAAGAAAAAATCAAAGGGTAAGTGTTCCTCATCAAGTAATCCAGAGCCCGATCCTCTTCTAGAAGCCACCGAAGTCTTCATCCAAACTCAAACCAATTTTAAAGCAACCATAAGGTCCTTTATACCATGACCTAACCCTCCCCTCATGGTATGGAACATGGGTGATGTTGACCACTTGGTGCTGCAGTGGTCAATGTATGAGGATCAATGTTTACACATTTTGGCCGAGCTGACTGATGAGTTCCAATGAACTAACACAAAGGTCTTTGCTTTCGCCAATAATTCATAGGGGGTGTATACCTTTGTGTTAGTCCATTGGAATTCATCAGTCAGCTCGGTCAAAATGTGTAAACGCTGATCCTCATACATTGACCACAACAGCACCGAGTGGTCAACATCACCCATGTTCCATACCATGAGGGGAGGGTTAGGTCATGGTATAAAGGACCTTATGGCTGCTTTAAAATTGGTCTGAGTTTGGACGAAGACTTCGGTGGCTTCTAGAAGAGGATCGGGCTCTGGATTACTTGATGAGGAACACTTACCCTTTGATTTTTTCTTCTCTATGAGTTTGACAACATCATGTCATTTTTGCCTTTGAAGCACAAGCTTTTTTTTGTCATCTGTGACTTCTTTCCAACGAATATAAGTATTCCTCAACCTCATCCGGTTGGAATCTATTGGAGCACTTCCTTGAAATCAATATGTACTCAAAGTTTGGAATGTTATGTCCCATTGAGGGAGAAGTGAAGAAGAGATGAGAAGTGAGAGTTGTGTGGAGGTAAGAAGAAGAGGATGAGAAGCCGAGAGGGTGAGTTGCAGAGGTGGGTTAGTGAGAAGTTGAGAGTTGGAGGTGAGAAGAAGAGGATGAGAAGGTGAGACTTATATAAAGAGTGAGTTGCAACTTGAGCTGAGCCACTTGTCTACGCTGCAACTCACCCTCTATATAAGTCTCACCTTCTCATCCGCTTCTTCTCACCTCTAACTCTCAACTTCTCACTAACCCACCTCTACAACTCACCATCTCGGCTTTTCATCCTCTTCTTTTTACCTCCACACAACTCTCACTTCTCATCTCTTCTTCATTTCTCCCTCAATGGGACCCAACATTCCAAACCTTGAGTACATATTGAACACCATTTTCTTAGAGCCTAATAAGTTAATTCAAGGAGGTGCTCTAATAGATTCCAAACTGATAAGGTTGAGGAATACTTATATTCATTGGAAAGAAGTCACAGATGACAAAAAACAACTTGTGCTTCAAAGACAAAAATGACATGCTGTTGTCAAACCCGTAGAGAAGAAAAAATCAAAGGGTAAGGCTTCCTCATCAAGTAATCCAGAGCCCGATCCTCTTCTAGAAACCACCGAAGCATTCGCCCAAACTCATTCCAATTTTAAAGCAGCCATAATGTCCTTTATACCAGGACCTAACCCTCCCATCATGGTATGGAACATGGGTGATGTTGACCACTTGGTGCTGCTGTGGTCAATGTATAAGGATCAACGTTTACACATTTTGGTCGAGTTGACTGATGAGTTCCAATGGACTAACACAAAGGTCTTTGCTTTCGCCAATAATTCATGGGGGGTGTATACCTTTGTGTTAGTCCTTTGGAATTCATCAGTCAGCTCGACCAAAATGTGTAAACGCTGATCCTCATACATTGACCACAACAGCACCAAGTGGTCAACATCACCCATGTTCCATACCATGAGGGAAGGGTTAGGTCATGGTATAATGGACTTTATGGCTGCTTTAAAATTGGTCTGAGTTTGGACGAAGGCTTCGGTGGCTTCTAGAAGAGGATTGGGCTCTGGATTACTTGATGAGGAACACTTACCCTTTGATTTTTTCTTCTCTACGGGTTTGACAACATCATGTCATTTTTGTCTTTGAAGGACAAGCTGTTTTTTGTCATCTGTGATTTCTTTCCAACGAATATAAGTATTCCTCAACCTCATCCGGTTGGAATCTATTGGAGCACTTCCTTGAAAATGGTGTTCAATATGTACTCAAGGTTTGAAATGTTGGGTCCCATTAAGGGAGAAGTGAAGAATAGATGAGAAGTGAGAGTTGTGTGGAGGTAAGAAGAAGAGGATGAGAAGCCGAGAGGGTGAGTTGTAGAGGTGGGTTAGTGAGAAGTTGAGAGTTGGAGGTGAGAAGAAGAGGATGAGAATGTGAGACTTATATAGAGGGTGAGTTGCAGCGTAGACAAGTGGCTCAGCATTCAGTCAAGCTGCCCGCTTTGTAGATTGTCCCTCTATGTTATCAACTCTCTATAGATATATTTATATATACATATATCTCTTCATTGAATTATAATTAACTCCTCATAGGTTTTGTACGTATATGATGATTTGAATAACCGCACAACTACAATAGCTATAAGTTTTATGAAAAATTTCGTCAATCCTAATTTTGTATGCACCGCATCTACTAATCATCTTGTTATAGTTTTGAAAGTTTAGTTATTCTAATGATGATTATTGGGTTCTCGTTCGCGTTTGGTGTTTAGGAATTTAGTCCAATTTAATGTAAAGCAAGCACATTGTACATGATCAAAAACACGTAGCACCATTTGAAATGAAACTAGTTAGGTATCGCATATAATTTTTATTTTTACTTTTTAAAGATAGTAATTTATATTGTTGCTTATATAACTTTACATGTATGAATCCTGTTTCACTTGTCCAAATAAGTAAATCTAAAAATAAAGGAGCCGAAATTGCGGTTTAGGCTTTAGAGGATCTATATATTTAATTTCATTCCATGAGTAAAAAGTCTCACTGTGTCAACGTGTCTTTTGACATAGGCTCCTTTAATTTCAGTAAACTTCTCATGTATAAGACTATTTGATGAAAGTGTGGAATATTTGATTCCATTGAGGGAGAAGCAGTGAAGAAGAGATAAGAAGCTGAGTAAACAAAAATGAAATATTTTGTTGTGTGGAAATAAATTGAGATTGAGAGTGTGAGAGAATAGATATTTATATGGATGGTGAGTTAATCTGTTTCTAGTGAAGCGTGGATAGTAGTTTCAAAGCTACCGCTCAAGCGAATTAGACTTTAGATTTCAAAGCTACCCCTCAATATTTTATTAGTTTTTAGTATGTTCTTTAAATATGTTAAATAACTTAATTAGAGTACTATTTTAGAAGGGAAAAAATATTTTCGGATAGGATTTTTAAAAAGAAAAATATTTTTGGAATCAAATTTGTGTAAGACATAAAAGGAATTATAGAGAAAATGAGAGTACGACCCTAATTGGTGAAATTGGTTTCGGATTCAATGCTCCGCATGTGAAGGGGATGAGATGGTTTGACACTCAAGGTACGTACATACACAGATTTCCCAAGGCTTGCTGCTACTTCACAGACTTAGACATCATTGGGGTTGCATGCCTATGCTATCTCACAAATTTAGACATCATTGGGATTTTGTACGTACATGATGATTTGAATAATCACAGAACTACAATACCTATAAGTTTTATGTAGAATTTCGTCAATCTTGAATATTGTATGTAACGCATCTACTAATGGTCTTATTTTTAGTTTTCTATTTTTTTTTCGCTATATATATAGCATAAAAATGACATAGGGATTGTGGGAGCAAAAATTAAGGCCAAATTAACAAGCCACTTCCCATGAACCTTAAATTTAGGGAGTGGAGGGGAATTAAATAACATGATATCCACTACCATTGAGCATGGAGATAAATAAGGGATATGGGACTTAGTCCAAGGGTTCAATGCCTATAAAAGGCTAACTAATTCCCCCAGTATAGGGGGATGGAGTTATGATTGATTTTACTGCAGTATTCATGAACAAACACTGACTTGAGCGTCGGAGTGTTTTCTTGCAGGTACCCCCCTCCTCAATCAATGGTGATAATCAAAGATGGTGTCCGGCTTCTCAACATGGAAATCAAAAATTACTTGTTGGAGGATCCGAAATTTTCCGCTCCAACAGGGATCGTTTATAGTTTTGAAAGTTGAGTTATTCTAGTGATAATTATTGGGTTATTCTTCGCATTTGGTGTTTAGGAATTTAGTGAATTATCCAATCCAATTTATTTTAAAGCAAGCACACCGTACATGATCAAAAACATGTAGCACCACTTGAATTGAAACTAGTAAGTTACAATATAGAATTTTTATTTTTTTACTTTTTAAAGGTAGTAATTTATAGGGACATTTTGGAAAAAGCAAAAGGAGAGAGAAAAATTTTAAAAGAAGCAAAAATGGACAAAAATGCCCTTATTTATTTTTAGATTTCCTAAGAAATCCAATACATTTGCATGTCTTTGATGTGAAAATTGAGCGGTTTTTTTTGTCTTTTTTTAAAAAGCTTTGACTTTTTCCAAAAGTGAAATTTTTTTTATGTCTAAAACTTAAAAAACCTTAATTTTTATATCGTTGCTTATATAACTTTACATGTATAAATCCTCTTTCACTTATCGAAATAAGTAAATCTAAAAATAAAGGAGCCCAAATTGCGGTTTAGACTTTAGAGGGTCCTATATATTTAATTTCCTTCCATGAAGAAAAAGTCCCACTATGTCAACGTGTCTTTTGACATATGCTCCTTTAATTTTAGTAAATGGTTCATGCCAAAAAGCAATTAAAATATCATACCTCTAAGAGAAAATTGAATCTCAAATCCGTATAATTATTAAAAAAAAACCTACATCTTATGAGCCCTTTGCCTAATATTGTTGAAACAAAAAATTTAGCCCACCCTACATGTTAAATCTGCTGCATACTCTAACATAAAAAGAATTTCGGGCCACCCTCCCTAAAGATGATGTCATCTCTCATGAAATAATTTTTTATTTTTTATTTAAAGAATAAGGCAATATATGCTTCAATTTTTTATTTTTTATTTAAAGTCTCATAACTCCATTGAACAATTCACAATAAAGAAACCAGAAAAAGCGATCAATTGCTTACTGTGGAAAAGTAGATATCCATGATATCATAACACATAAAGCTGAGTTTCAGAATTCAGCTACGTTAATCATGCCCAGTGTTTGCAAAATTCAACCTGTGACTACTAACCAGACCCAAATTGCAGGGCAGGCAGGAGGTCATGTTTTCTTGTGGCTTATAAATTTATACTTTCAAATACAAGCGATAGTAGACGAGAAGAGGAGAATCACATCTAGGACCTTAACAAGTTATAATTTATAATTTAAACGCTCATTTATGTTATTCTCAAACTTGTGAAATTGAAGAATCTTTTTATCAGAAGAAATAAAATAAAAAAGAAAGAAGCCCCAAGTTGCAGACCATGTGACTATAATGAATGTGGGGGAAAATTTTGGTCAAAGAACAAAAGGGTCATAAAATACACAAAATCAGTGGTCCCCTGATCCAACGGATGAGAGTAATTAATAAAAATCAGTGGCTGTGGTTTCCCCCAACAATGGTTTTAATGGTACTCTTTTCTTATTTGGCTAAAAATAATTATTGGGATTTTTAGATTGGTGTGTACCCTTTGAATTATTAATAGTAGAATTACCTATTTTAACTTGTAGTGGAAGTTTTATTACCTGTCAAAGGAGTAAAATAGTTGGCGGACAACACGACTGTAGACGGTAACTTGGAGCCATCGTCAGTAACTCCATCTTTCATTTGTTCACTTGATAATTCATGTAGATAGAGTATCATCTTTGTCTTCCAAAAAACTGTCAGACACCTTAGAGAACGCGTCAAAACCAATATTTTGGGTGTATAATCCAACAAATATAAGTCTTAAGTAATAGTAAGTGTCCATCAATCACAACATAAATATAATAAGTTAAATTTGAAGAGCATAGGAGTTGAAGAGCAATCGATGAGAGCGGATTTGAAACCGAAACAATAAACTGAATCCATATCCACTTTAATTGGACTTGTCCAGTCCAATCCGTCTTACCAAACAAGGCCTCATTATACCAGTAAATTTAGCCCTCATTCTGGATTCCAGATTTCTTTTCCTCTCACCAATTTCAAATTTCAACGTTCATTGGGCATGTATGAGCCTCTTGAACATCATTAATTTGAACAAACTGTGCTAGTAGCCTAGCACATCAGTTGTTCAACAGTTGAGTCTCGGTCGGTCGGTCAGTCAACTAGAGCAAGAGCTTGATACTCTTTGTCAGCGATGACTGCTTCCATGAGATGGTGCGGCCCGATTTCCCCGCCATTGTCCAAGAAGGACTTGACCAAATGACCGGAGAAGCCACTCAACCGCGTGAACCCTGGATGTTGTGTACAAATCCAAGAATGCGGGATACTCCAATCTTCACAAACATCCCAAAGTACAATGTGTGGCACCGCATCGTCTCCGTACCCTTTGTCCTTATACTTACTCCGTATCGACTCAACGTTGTTCACTAGTTGATCATAGTGCCAAACCGAGGTGCAAATCCAACCTGGCTTCAGGCTTTGGAACACAATCACCTTCTTGATCATATGCTCTGCCTTCAAATTCGCATTCACACCCACCTCCAAAATTAAATCAATTGCCTTCAAAAACCCAAAGTAGTCATCGGATTTCCTCATCAACTTGCACTTGGACTTAAGATCATGCCCTTCGCCTTGTATCCATTCCGGCTCATCTTCATCTCCACCAATGAACTTTCCTTTCCATGGCTCTTCACTCAGTTCAGACATGAGAAATCTCAAACACGCAGCAAAATTGTTGGGTATACCGCCCACCACCAACCAGTT